AAGCGCCGCGAAACCGCAAACAACAAGTGTTTAAATATTTGTATTTGTATTCATAAAACACTGACTGGTATCAATAACAAATGAAATACTGGCAATGCTTTAAAGGCGCTGAACTGAAGTGCAGTGGATAAAAAGTGAAATAATCAAATGATAATGACACCTATACACAAATATATTTAAAATTTAATATGATTAAATGTGCTAGCGTGTTTGATTGAATAAAATCGAATAGCAAATGTGATTAAATTAAGTTTCCAACAGCTTTAGAAAATCCGGCAGACCACCCCCAACTCGATTTTAATGATCGCGGCACGTGCGCGTCCGTCGCTCCATATCGCTTACACGCCCAGATAATCTCTACTGATAGATGAACGAGTATACAATAAATATATATATGTATGTATGTACATAAATATGTAACGATCAACTATTTGTACATTTGTGCGATCGTTTGCATAGTTGTTGCAATAAGCTCTATCAGAAATTTAAAGGCACAACTAATTTAATAAAAAAAAAATTTCATAGTTGTGTGGCTGCATTTGGTAGTTGTTTTGCTAATGAATTAATATGTACTACATATGTATGTATGTAATGAAGTGTACTGAAGCCTAATGCAAATTAGTGTAAATGCAAATGTTTTAATTTCATAAATGGCATGCGAAAAGTGTGTAGTGGTGTGCATAAAATTTAAATTATTAATTCTAATAGTTTCAAGCGCCCACTTAGTGCAAATACTTTTGGTGCAAACTAACAACAATCAACGATTCAACAAAATAAGCAAAAACAAAAAACAAAATAAAGAAAAAAGTAATAAAATAAATTAAATGGAAATTTAAGATATAAATTAAATCCTACAGAATAAAAGAGAAAACTAGTGAAACTGGAAATGACTGCAGTGAAAATATTATAAATTTCAGAGAATTTTCATCAGTCATATGGATAGGAGAAGTTTCTAACTTTAACCCTTAACTGCTGTGCTTATAATAAGGCTCATAACTACTGATGTTGGTCTATGAGAGGACACAAATTTTTTTGTTAAGTAATAAATATATCTTTATGTAGAGCGTTTCACGAAAAATTTCTTTTTAGTAAAATTATAACCCTTTTGGCCGCACAAAAATTTTTTTTTTTTAATTTACCCAAATTTAATTTAAGTTTTATTAGCAATGTTTACAAAAAAAATAAAAGCCTCGAACTTTTTTATATTCACCCAAATTTAATTTAAATTTTATTAGCAGTGTTTTCAAACCATATGCTAAGAAAAAAATTAAATAGCAAAAAATTCTTTGATATATTTAAAAAGAAAAATACTGTTTTATAATAAAAATACTTCAATTTTACAAGAATAAATAAAAAAAATGACAAATTTCGCAATGACTAGAAACTACGGAATGTTGTTAGTAAGGAATTCAAATTCCCTGAAAGATATGGTTTTTTAGGACGGAATATTCTGAACAGTCCCTGAAAGACTAAATCCCACTGTTAATAAGATAAGCTGCTTTTCATGGTGATTAAGTGGGCACTCTATCAATAATCCATGGTACCTTCGGAGAAAGTTTTAAAATATTGTGCAACCTGTTTTTGGTTGCCTTCCTTGAACGCTCGGATAATCGCCAATTATTTACTTCAGACCTAATTTCGCCGCTGATCTGAAAAATCTGCCATAGAAGTTAGTGCAAAATAAAATTTCCATGAAAATCTTATCAAAGGTATGCCCTGAATTAACGTCCCCAAAAATTAATTTGGGAACAGAAATCCATTATGGTTTCCGGGCAAAAATGAGAGCACGCACATTGTGTATGTATACACAAAAGAAGTTTGTCTGACATGCAGCTAGAAAACTGATGCGGGGATCCCTTCATCATCACCTTAGATGCTAGAAAATCGCTATCATAAAAACCGATATTTTCAAGATATTAAGGAAACCCCCATATTTTCGTACTTGATACTCGACTTTTTTCCGACGATTATTAAAAAATAAACGCGTTTTGGAAAGAGAATTAATATACCTATTGAATTATGTATATAAGTAGTTCTGCTGTTAAATTAAATCGGATAAAAATTTCTCGCCGGCCACTGTTTGCATATTTAATAGTTCGCCATGTTCTGAAGATCATCCTTAACACCAGGGAAGTTTAAAAAAAGATCCCACTTTGATTCAATCAAAAATTTTTTCGCATAAATTTAATGAATTTAAATCTTTACATTGCCGAGTAATTCATATTAAAATTTATACCAACAATTTGTAACGCAATACCAAAATTTATGAAACAAGTTGATTATAAATAATTTCAATATAATAACATAGCTAATAATAAAATTTTGTTCAATGAATGGTCTTGATTACCCGATTTAACTCAACTAACACTATTTGTATGGTAATTGTATATTTAAAATACAGTATACATACATATGTACATACGTATGTATGTATATTGCTGTATCTAGTCGTTTATTTATTAAGCGATATTAATCACTGTTGCATCACGTTTTACTCAGACGCGTTTGTTATTATTTTGTATTATACTATTGTTTAATGTTATGTTAGTTTGTATATGTGATTGTATTATATACATACATACATACTTATATACCATTAAAAAAAGGTAGCGGAAATAATAGATAGCAGTTGAACTGAAAGCAGCAAATTATTAAAAAAAAAGAAACTTTTTAAAAAATATTATTAATAGTTGTTTGAAACCAAATAGACATTCCTATTAATTGTGCTAAGCTGGAGTTAACAAAATTAACTAAAGTAAAACAGTATTTTGTGTACATGCATGTAATATTTGAACCAATTTAACCTCAGAACACAGAAGTTGTTCTGAGACAAATTCGTTATTTATTTCGTTTTCTTTTCTACAAAAAATGTTGGCTTTTCATGGCCCTGTACTTAGTATTTGTCAGGAACGTGAACCGGTTTTGAACCGGAAAACCGCTTTTTTCTCTTAGTTAACTGAACCATTAACTCAACCGAAAGTTTCCACAAATGTTTGATCCGAACCGAAAACCGAAACACTTTTCATAGAGGTGCCGCCAGCAATTTACTTGAGGACTCTGTTGCGGTTCTGTTAAAATTAACTCTGAGAATCTTCAGGCTGTTCACTGTCGGAATAGTTACGCCAAAAACGTGAATTCCTATTTCAGTCTGGCTTCTTTCGTCCCGGTCGTAGACATAGTTGCCAAGAGAAAACGGGTATGGCTCCTTGGCTATATCAGGGAAATAAATACTTTCCTTAACAGGTCATTAAATCGTACATTTTGTTGCCAGTTTATCGCTATTAATCTAAGTATCAATACTATTTATGTGGACTATTTCGTTTCTCCTCTGGGCTTTTAGAGCGGTCAGTGTCACGTTCCACCTGCCTAGTTATCTCAGAATCGGGCCCTTTTAGTATTCCGTAAAGCTTCGACTTTATCCCTGTCAACACAGATCACTGCTTGGTTAAACTTACATCAATGAGCTCTTTCTGTTCTCCCAACCGATCTTAGGACGTGCAGAAGGAAAGTGGAGAGCTCTCTCTTAATATAAAATGTAGCTTCTAGATCCAGTGAATTCCAGACAGATGCAGCCAAAAAGCTGGGGTAAAGCTCTACTCTGATAGCTAGGCGGCAGTCAAGACCCTGGGCTTGCTTACTTCAGGCTAGTAGGAAAATGCCTGAACTCACTCTCGCGTCCGATTATTTCCTCGTCGAACTTACATATATGGGTACAGATACAGATGAGTTGGCCTCGAAAGGCACCCTTGAGTCGATATCATCGGTAAAAGAGGAAGGTGGGAGTGTGTGTCTGTGGCTACTTGCGGACTTATGTTGCACACTTCGGCCAGGTATCCACTCAGCGAATGCTGGGCGAACTCAAGAATATATTATGCTGTACGTTCTTTCTGGCCGGCTGGCTGGTCAAGGAATCTTCTTAGGCTACGCCAACTTTCAATTTTGGTGGGTGTATTGGCAGAACACTTTTCGGTGGGTACTAATGCCCCTAGACTAAATAACGCACCGGATTTTTTTCTCTGACGCAGCTGCTTAGAGAACGATGAGGTGAAGTCATCTCCACGCTTCCTCTACGCTGTCCAGAATTTACCGGACTACGGTACAAACACCTTGGATGTCACTTTCCCATTGGTGCTGCGAAGCTCTCTGGGACTGACATCTGCGAAATTTCGTTGTCGGCATACAGCGTTTTACGCTTTAGCTTATCAGTTGTGGACATTTGAATTGTACCATCGAGTAAAGGAACTAAAGTGTGGTTTTATGGTACTCCAAACTCTAACTTAGCTAAATTTCCATCCAGATAGAAAAATTGCGTAAAACTTTTTACATTTGTGCTACACAGTTTCCAAATATTTAATAGATTTGCATAAAAGCACTCAAAATATCAATTATCCTATTAGTGTAATAAATGTGTTTTTAAATTGAGTGTATAGTTTATGATATTTCGCGGTGTGCTGCGCTGCAACGAGTGAATTAATAAATTTGAACTCCTACTAAATGACCTCCAAGCTAAGGAGATCAAATTGCGTGGGCAAAAAAATGCAAAACAAGTAATGAAAATTGTGCGTATCTACGAACTAAAAAACTGTGCAAAAAGAGGCGTAAGAGTAGCTTAGTGAGTTTGGTAGTTAGAGCAACGGGTTGCGATGTGGGGTGTTACTGCTTAGTATGTACATTAGACTGCATCACCAAAAAAAAGTTGCGATTTTTCCGCCGGGATTAAAAAATTTATTAGATTTGAAGATGTCTACCAAAATATTTCGGAAAAATATTAAGGTTAACGTGAGTTGGACTGATTTGAAAATACCTCCAAAAATGGAGTTTTTTATGAATAAAAATAGTTTCTTAAAGTACTTTAGAAAAAATCAATATTCGAAAACAGTTAAAAAACAGCATCAAAATCTCATCATTACGATTCCTTTGACATTTTTTTTTTATATTTTTATGCATACTTTTTAAGCTCAAACTTTTTTTTCATCTGAAGGGATTTTTTTTTTCAAAAAATTCTTTAAGAAACTACTTTTATTCAAACTTCATTTTTGGAGGAATTTTCAAATCGGTACAGCTCATGTAAATCTTAATATTTTTCCGGAATATTTTAGTGCAAGTCTTAAAATATAATAGATTTTAAAATTTCAATGGAAACGCGGTACCGATTTTTTTTTTTGTGTATCGAGAGTACTTACATTTCGTAGATAATCTAAATACCATATACATTTTTTCAATTATTTTTATAGGTGGCAATTCTTTTACAAAACTGTTAAATAAAAAAAAAAAAAATTTTTGTTTCATATCAATATCACAATGGTATATTTCATTTATCTTTTCTGTAAAGGCGAAAGGTATACCATTTTGCAGAAGTTCACTTGCATTTAATTGTTTAAATAGGAACACCCTATTCAAAACTCTTTTCCTAGTAAATATTTTTTCAACCTGTTTCGTGCAATGAATAAATATTTTCAAAATAAATATATGCACATATAACTTAAGTCGTTTGCCATCCATATTGTATTGCTTCATTCAACTTACTAATACAATTTTTAATAGATGACAATCCTGTTAAAATGTCTTTGTAAAACGCTTTCCAAAATGTCGTTCGCTAGGCATCCGTATCATTATATTTTCATCAGCTTATAGTTTAAAGTAGAATTTTTAAGTAGGTGGCATCCCTTTTAAGAAAATGAGACCATAAGCTTTCTGTTTACCAAATTTTATACATAGAAAGACCAAGAATGCCATACCCTCGCCAAAAATATTTATCTCTTTTGATAGCCACATTAAAATTTTCTATTTAATTTGTTGAGTAAATTGATTTTCAATTTCTAAACAGGTGGCAGCATTGTTCAAAAATATTATTTCTGTGGCCCATCAAAACAATACACTGTACAGCCTTCGAGGGAAAAAGACACTCTAAGACATTTTATGACACCCTCTAAAGAAATCTCGGATCAACTTCTAAATTTTAGTCGACAGTTTTTGAGGACTTTCACTGGCTAACTGACAGGACGTCTTTAGGCTCTATGCATGGAACATATTATGCGATTGTCCATGTACCATTACACTTTGGGTTGCTTCTATAGTCTCCGATCAGAATTTCGAAAGTGACAATAGATCTACTATGTATAGATATACATACATAGGTCGTTTTCTTCCCTCAAGTAGTAATAATAAAAATTAGTATTTGTAAAAAAATTTTACTAATTAAATCTACATAATATGTAAATATGTATATATCGAAAACGTATATTGGCATATATTTGTTGAATTTTGGCACACAAAAATAGATGTATGTGGCAACCGTGCTTGTGAGTACCCTAATTACAAGTATGTTAATTCAGATCTTAAGAGAACAAGTTTCTTTTTAATGCTCTGTACTAACAGCTCAATTCCAACCATACAAACTTTCCAGCATACATACTTACTTACATCTCTGCGCGTCTGTTTGAGAAATTATTTGACACAAATGACATCGTCACCTACTTAAATTGGCACACGCACATGCTTGGTGAAGAAAAAAGTATTGACATTTCATGACAATTATTAGTCACACACTTAAACAGTCATAAAGAGAGAAAATAAATAAAAAATGTAAACAAAAGTAAACATTGTTTATCAATTATAGCGGTACAAGTACCTAGCCGGCATCCCCGCAAAAAGCAGTTGCGTGTTATAATATTTTAAGGGCTAGGCTGGGAACATCACGAATCTTTGTTAGCTTTAGCGCCTCCAATGTTATATGATTACATACTTACATGCATATACTGGCACTTATATAGATGTATGTATGTATACTAAACAAGTATGTGACATCTTTTTAAGTACATACATATGTAGATCGTAAAATGTAACGAGTTTTAATATGTATATCCGTTAAAAAGTATACATACATACATATGTAGGTACAAGGTTAATGCCGAGTGTATTCGGTAAATAGTCATGAAACTTGACAGATGGATTATTTTTAAGTCAATAGTCTTCGTTTTGTAAAGTTTATCTACTTGACCTTGCCTTACTAAGATAGCTAAGATAAACGTTTACAGAAGTTGTTACAGACACTTTTAATGGTGGATGGAGAACCTTCTTTTAACAACTATATATCGACTAGATTGCCCCTTACCTGCTGAGCTGAGTGTAAGGCATTTCTGCGTTACATGAGGTGTAATTTATTTCAATTAAACTCAACACACTTAAACTCAGCCAAAAACTTCTAACCTCTTTCTAACCCTCTTCAAAATATTTTCAGAACAAAACTTTCTTAAACCCCTTTCTTGTGCTTTATTTTCAATTACCTTATTTCCTGAATTTAAGTCCAATTTGAGTTTTTAAACAGGTGGCAACCCTCCTTATTAAGCCTTTTCAAAACTATTACGATTGATACCTATATTGTAATAATTCATTCAAGTTATTAGATAATTTCCATTTAACTTTTTAAAGAGGTGGCAACCTTCTTAAACCTCTTTCATCTTACATATATATGTCATCCAATTACCCAATCCCATAATTAAAGCGAAATTTGTTTTGTCAAGCAGGTGGCAACCCGGCTAAAAGTAACTTAGCAGTAAAGTCCTTTAAATACCATTTCGATTGTTACCCATATTGTAATAATTCACTTAAATTAATAAATAATTTCAATTGAATTTAGTTTAAAACAGGTGGAAACCCTCTTCAAAAACCTAAAAAAATTCCTTATGTTCAAACTGAAGATTTTTGAACGCTCTTGCATTTGAATATTTAACTTGTGTATAACTTAATTATTTGATTTATTTATATTAATTAAATTCGGAATTTCTAACAGATGGCAACCCTTCTTCTAAATAATGCATTTAAATTTGTTGATTTTTGCCACCTATTCGAAACTAGATACAAATGAAAAGTGTTTTGAAAGTCCGAAATTCAGAATTACTTTTGAATAGGGTTGCCATCTTTTTTCTATCGTGTATTTATTTAACTTTTTGTTAAGAAAATTAAGATACCATATCACTCTTAATTAACGCTTTGCCCATATAGTAAGTTCTGTCCCTTAAGATATTAGTTGCCACTTAATTTCCATTCTTCAAAATTTAACTAAACTAACTTAATATGGATGGTATTTTTGAGAACTTTAATGGAGAAATGTTTTCGTTGAGCTTTCTGTTTTTTTGTAATTATGTGTGTATGTATACAGAAAAAATTTCCATTCAAAATATGTACTCTTCTACCAGGCGTATTTCTTAATAGGGTTGCCACCTAATTTATGATGTCAAATATTTTTTAAATTTATTAGATTCAAAAAATAAAATTTTTTTTTAAATTTGTTTCAAACCCATTCATTTACGATATTATTGTTAATAAAAATTATTATTTTTTTAAGTTTTTTATTTTAATTTTGTTTCACTGAATACTGTGGTACTTCTAAGGCTAAGATATTAATCATTGATAATATTTTTTTATCGATATAATTTGTATGGAAAGTCTTATTGGATAGGCGCAGTGCTAACTAACAAATTCCAGTTAAAATATTACAAGAGAAAAATATTTTTATATTTAAGCTATCCATTATCTGCTACCCAAACCGTGATAACTTTAAAAAGTATATGCACTCCGAGAAAAGCTACTACTATTTTATTAAACTTGTTAGTTAAACTGTTTTTGAATTTCTTAAAAGGTGGCAGCCCTCTTCAGAAATATTTTAGAACTTAAACTTCTTTCGTTTGACACCCATATTAAAATATTTCATTTACCTTAACAAAATTTGTTTTTTTTAATTTCTAAACAGGTGGCAACACCCTTCAAAAGTGTTTTCAAAATTAAGATTTATTTTAGACCTTTCATAAGAACCATTTTCGAAATAAAGCTTTTTTTAAATCTCACTGTGTTTTCATACCCAGATAATAATATTTAATTAAAAACCTTTTAATTAAAATGATTTCCACATTTTGCACAGGTGGCAACGCTCTTTAAAGCCTTTGACACCCACAGTTTTGTAGTATTTTATGTATTTAACTTTTTAATTAATTTACTTAAAAAGGTGGCAACTCTCTTCAAGTCCCAAGCTATCTTTGGTGGCAAATTTGATTGAAATACGACCAGAGGTTTTAGCGTGACATTTTCAGGATGAGCATAGTCCTTTGCTCAAGTCTCATCTAGATATATACAAAACGATAACATAGGGAAGCTGTATAGGATGTTTAAAAAAAAGCGAGTTTTTTGTAGCTTCTTGACCTTTTCAGAAAAATGAGATATCGACATATTTCAATTTGTAAATAAGAAAATAGCTTGACCAAAATGAGAGTAAAAAATAACGAGTGAAAATGTTTAGAACTTTTTTCGCGTTCAATGGTAATTTTTCTGTTGCAGATCGATAGTCGTGTAACAAAATATCTTTGCCGAGACTCCTGAGAAGCCAACGAAGAAAAACTACAACGAACTCATTCGTTTTAGACGTTCATCGTTGGTGAGTAGGTTTACTAGGTATTGACTAGTATTTTTGATGCGAGTCGGGCTAAAACTGTAAGGCCATCTACATATTAGTGAGCCTTTGTAGCCGATTTCATTGCTCTAAAGCAGGCATGCCCAGCGCAGGCCACTTGCTTATGGAATTCTGCCAGCGTTGGACATGACTGCTCTAAATGATGCACATTTGTACTTTTTCTAATTACTCGACTCGTTCCTGCAATTGCAGTACGTGGCCCAATAAATAGTAGTCTTATCTTGCCGTGTCCAAACCATCTAAACTACTTGTTTATTGTTATATTTGGGAGCTTTTCGAAAATATTTCGTCTTTTTTCTTTCGCTTTTAAATTGTAGATCTCGACAAATATCTAAGGTATGAAAATGCGTTATTTTATTGTCATTGTTTTATTTAAATTGCATTCGTTTTATCTCGCTGATTATTCCTGAAAGATTTGCAGCCCCATCATAAATTAGTCAAGCTGACAAGCGACGATTATGTCCACCTAATTCTAAGCAAAAATTTAAGCGCTTTGTACAAATACCTATATGTAGAATAAGACAAAAAAATACACAGAAATGAAATTTGGATGCAAATAAAATTTAATTTTAAATATACATACATACATACACACTTAATCTTAAGTGAACCAAGTGGTGATAAGAAAGCGTCCGCGTCAGACGGACCAAGATAAACCCAAACGATTTACGGTGCTATTTATTTTTTGAAAAAAAAACGATTTAAAAGTAGCTGGCGTATAATCGTTTTCGTGGAAAAATGTGACCTAAATTATATCACGCGGCATAATCTCTGAACAATAATATAATTACTGTCCACAGCGATATGTTGCAATGCAAAAATTAAACTAGTTTAAATGAATGAGATTAAAGAGGCGAGTGCTGCAGTTTAACAGTCAAACAAATGTGTGAAAATATAAATATTCGCAGTGCCCGGAACTGCCAAGCCACATGAGCGGGCTCAGAAGCGAGTTCAGAAGAACTAACTAAACTCATTAGAAAACCAAACACAAAAAAAATATTCTCATCACCACCATGAACAAAGTCGCCACCGAAGAACCCAGCGCTTCAAGCGCTACGACGAAGCATGTCAAAATCAACTCTTCCGCCGTCAAAGCCACCAACACCACAACAACCGATACTGCCACCTTGCCGAAGGAAAGCGCGGCACCCTCTACTTCGACTTCGACGCCCACCCTCGCACAAATTGGCAAACAAACATCGCAGCATTTTCGTCTCAGTCAAATCTCCGACAGCGGTGCTGAGAGTGGCGACGAACAGACGCGCCTCATACGCTCACCCTCCGCGCGTTCACATAAATTCATCATCATACCCGCCACACCGCCCACGCCCAATTTAACGCCTACCGGCTCAACAAAAGAAAAACCTCCCACATTTCGACCAACCTTCTCAGCAAACTCATTGTCCACACTAGCGGCCACAATCCAGAAGACGCCCGGCACAAGTTCACAACAAACCACAAAACAACAGCCGCCATTACAAAGACCGAAATCAGTGGCGCGTCAGTTGTCTGCGTTAGCATCGGCGGTGGCGGGCACAATAACTACAGTAGCCGCAGCACAACTGCAGCCGCCGCCGCCGCCGCCGCCAAACGGAGAGAATCAAATACCTACGCCGGCTACAGTTAATCAGTCAATGCGCACATCGCCGCACCACAGCTCAATTAATTTCACGCGCGGTGCATTAGCAGCCGCAACAGCAACGGCAGCAGCAACACCATCATCATTAACACGTTCAGCAAAATCACAATCGGATGTAGCTCATCAGTCGACTAGCGCTAATACGCCAGCCAAAACAGCAACAACAATAGCAGCTGCGCTTAATAATAATACAGCTGGCGTGACATTTACAATTGAGGATTGCGAATCGGATGGTGGCGTTAGCAGCGATTATATGCCTGGCTTCGATGCAACACTTCATCCGAGCAATGCAACCGCAATCAGTTCCATTAAATCCGCGACGAAACTCACACCCGCATATACGATTGCTGTCGGTACACAGACGCCACTCTCCTCATCGACAACAGCGTTGGTTACAGCCAGCACAGCACCCGCATCCACAACAGTCTACCCCTACTATCGTAGCGCCTTGACTGCCAGCGAAACAACGCCATATTTGCAAGGGTTTAGTTCACGCGGCCGCAGCGAGAGGAGCAGCATGAGATCGGTGGTATCAGGTGAGTAATTCGATAATGAATAATGTACATACTTAGATTAGAAATTATGGAAATCTCGTTAGCCTACATAATTAATATCCAATCCAATAGTCCAATAGGCAGTGATTAAGTGAAACTAGGGAAAATTGTGAGAGTCACCCTTTTGGGCGGTCATTGCAGAATGCACACCTCAAAGTGACGCAATGCTTTTCTAATGTGTACCACAGACGACTAGGAAGCTTCAGAAGGAATAAGGGCAGAGATCCTTGGACCCAATAACAAGATGTATGCTTCTAAGTATCGGGCAATATCTGAGCATATTTCAGGCGGAACTCTATGCCATTATCATGTCTGCGAAGTTAGACTTACGAAGGAACTACTAGAATAAGAGTTTTGGAAAGTTCAACAGAGAGGTCATCTTCATAATCTCGGGTTATGGCCGAATAATATATATTGCTTGTAACGCTCGCCCAAGGAGATGTCTTCTTAATTAGCCGTCCGCAGGAGCAGTTAGAGAAGTATAAGCTTAGGCAACGCGCATTCAGAGCGCTTCTGGCTAAACTGAACTGTACTAAAGCTGATAGGTTTTACACAAAATGATGAGTTTTTTATGCCCAAGAATCGTGTAGGTTGAAAGCTCTCCCTCATGGTGAGAGTTAGGCTTAGGGCTTCGCCGGAATCGGACCGTCTTACTGAACTTATCAAATCTAAAGCAGAGGCAAAAGCTCCAGAATAAATTAAACGTCTGGAAAGTACAAAAGTAGATAGTAAAATTCCCTCAGAATCCGATGAGCATCGAAGCATCGTGAACGCGTAACACCGAAGGTTAGCGTCGAATAGAAATTTACACTCAATATGGGCAATAGGAGATTGCTATTCGTTGCTGACACAAAGGCTTGGCAGGTTTTAGATAAGGAGCCTTTGCCCTTTTCGGACAAGTCAGAAAGATTAGAGCGCCCTTTAACAGGCCATCAACTAAATCCTCTGAAAATCTATTCCAAGCGGCAATCAATTTTAAGAGAAATGCGTTTTGTTCACAACTGGCGACATCGTGTTAGTAGTCTGGAAATTTAAGCTCTTTCATATATTTTTATTCTTATTAGGGTATACTAGCACTTCGACCTAGCTAGATCTATCAAAAATCTTTCGAGTATTCCGCTATTAATGTATAAGTTTATGACTTTCTTAGGTGTCGTGTTCTTTATTCTAGACAGAGGCGACAATCGCTTTCCGAAACATATGTATCTAAAAGCTTAAACAGACGGCAATGTTGATCCAGATTAACTGGGACTTAATCCGGACCAACTGCAGTTAATTCCCGAGTTGATCCGGATCATCGCTGCCGTCTGTTTAAGCTCTAAGACTGTATCTAATCTAACCTAACCTAGTTCCTTGGCTGCAAGCAGAGCTTCTTTCCCTGGGAGAGAAGAAAGCCGGAAACAGGCTCCGCTTTGCTCGCTATAAAAAAAAATTTTGGAAGTGAGCTTAACGATGCCTGTTTAATTTTTTGAAGAAAGTCACTTTAGCTAACTTATTTTGTAACTAATTACAGATTAACTCAAAAAACTATTCAGGAGCATTTAGAATAATGGCTGTATGTATTTACTTATTTTATTTTTATGTACATACATTAAGGTGCCCCACCAAAAAAGGTCGCGGGTTTTCCGCCGGAATTATGAAATTTATTATACTTAAATACTTACTGCCGCCAAAATATTTGTGGAAAATAAGTGTTGCATTTGCTGGACCGATTTTAAAAGACCTCCCAAAATTGAGTTTTTTTTATAAATAAATTTAATTTTTTAAATTAATTTTTTCCAAAAAATCATCTCAGGTCATACAAGAATTTAACCCTAAACAGTCTGCCTAAAAATATTTGAAAATTGTGTCAACGAATTCAAATAAAACTCGATTTTTTGAGGTATTTCAAATCGATCTAGCTCACATAAATCTTAATATTTTTCACGAAATCTTAAAAAATATAATAAATTTTGTAACGACGACGGAAAAACGGTAGTGATTTTTTTATTTAATAAATTGTTATGCACCCTAATGTACATACATTTTCTTAAAGAAACTAAACTTTATTTCGAAGAACTTTTACTTTTATTATTTCACAACACCTACTTATCAACCCTTTCAGCTTACATTCCCAGTTCCCAGGATCCCCTTGGCGATGCGCTGGCACAATATGAGCAACAGCAACAACAACAACAACATTATTTACGACCCAGTCATTCGGGCAAAGATTTAAGCGCTAGTTCCTCATTCATTTATCGCGATCACGTTGCCAATCAAATATATTCGGATGTGACGTCGGTACGTTCATTAGCATCGATTGGCATCGGTTCGACGGATGGACGTAGATTGGTGATTAGACGAGTGCCGCATACCCCGCATGAACTATTCAATATGGTGCATCCACCGACGCCACCGTAAGTACATATATACATATGACAGTAGCTTAAGTTTTAAGGGGTTTACTTATCAATAGTTACATACATAGATACTACGAAAATGTATGCTGAATGTGGCTTACTTTGAGAGCTTTACCTAATACTCGAACAAGTATGTAAATATGCACGTGCATATGCGATAATTACTGTCATTTGTGATAATTATCGATAGGGGACATATATTTCACTGTTTTAAAATTACCTCAAAGTTTCGTAAACAATTGAAGTTATTTATATGAGTATTGGATATAATTTCATTCTAAGTGTGAACTTAAGTAAGTACACGCCAAAAATAACAAATGTATTTGTTTTACAGATAAAAAATACCGGGCTTAAAATATTTCTATGAAAATCTGTATATGAATAGTTTCTTAATGGAAATACATACATACACACATATGGACTTGTGTACATTATTCAAATTCTCAACTTTTTTCATATTCCTCTTTTTTGGAGTAATACACATTTTCACCAAAACCTTGACTGCAGTTAAGAGCTCAGATAAGTTCCAAGAAAGTTATCGGGTGATCGGCAAGGTTTACTTCTTACTTCTGGATTTTTTACTTTCGTTTTCTTGTACTTAATATGAGCAATTTCCCCCTTCGCTCGTAATTGCTTTATGTTGGTGGCTTCCACATCAATCGTGGCACCGTAGTTGCTTCTCAGGCCTGCTGCCGTAGTAATGCAGCATCCAACACAACCCTCCAATCACGAAAAAGAAAGAGACGAGGTTAGAGCAAGGAACCTTGTCGAACCCCGCTGTGAAGTTCGGCGGTCTCAGACAGCTTTCCATTGTGAAGTAGACGACACGTAGCTCCGTCGTATATGGATTTAGTTACAGTTTTTTCGGGCACTGCTGTACGGGGCAAGGCTGCTCAAAGGCACTCTCTATGAACACTATCGACAGCCTTTTTTAAATCGACAAACATCCAATGCAGATCAGCTCTGAATTTGGCACACTACTCGATGATGAATCTCACCGTGTTTATATGGTCTGTGCAGGACAATCTCGCCTTGAAACACGCCTTAGAATTGTCGATAGTAGAATTTAAATGTTTCATTCACGCCAGTTATCACAATTAATTCATCTGCAAAAGTCGGAGTGTCGTCAGATAAAACGTGGTTCAGAACTGACTCAAAGTGCTCTGTCCATCTAGCATGTTGCTCCTCTTCCGAATGCTCTACATAGATTACCATGTTCGCTCCTCACAGGGTGCTCGCTACTCTGACTAGGCTATTTATATGGCTGCGTTTGTCGTGTCTTATACTCAGTTTTGTTGCAATATTTTTTAAAAAATCACGGATAGATCAGATCCCCTAGAAAATCGTACATAACCCAGCAAAAAATCGGTAATCGCTTTTAGTGGTAACGTGTTCTAGAAGGCATAGCGTTGTAATGCCTTCGAATTTTTTCACTTCTTTTAGGCATTGTAGGTAATGCAAAGTAGAATGTCATACAATATTTTATTTATTTCGCTTCTTTGTTTCATTTTGGGGAATGCAAAGTAGAATGTCCTATAATATTTCTTTCTTAATTCGCTTCTTTGCTTCATTTCAGAGAATGCGAAGTAGAATGTCCTACAACATTTTATTTTTTTTCGCTTCTTTGCTTCATTTCAGGGCATGCAAAGTAGAATGTCCTACAATATTTTTTTTTTATTTCGCTTCTTTGCTTCATTTCAGGGAATGCAAAGTAGAATGCTACATCGTAGCCAGCTGAAAAATAGAATGAATATCCAAAAAATCTTTTTCTACCGTTAGTTTCTGTGGAAATTTGTCTCGCATAAAAATCATGTTTTGCTTTGTTCAATTTGCAGCGAAGTTGAAGTCAGTCAATGAAGTGAAGTACATGAGTGAGGAAGTACAATTTTAAGCTTAATTAAATATGCATGTATGTACATACCGATTTTTAAGTAAAATCTAAATACCCAAATACATACATATGTATGTATAAAAACTGATTTATACAAATTTTAATTAATTTTAATCTTTTAACACATTTTCTGATTTAATATATGTAAATAAGTATGTACTCATCTGGGCATTCTACATTAGTTTCTCTGTAAGGCATTCTTTGTTCGCTTCTCTGGATTCTGTTTATCCATGCGTTCTCCCTTCGTTTGAAGGTAATGCTGCGGGTAAGGGCTTACCGCCAATGACATGCCCATGTTAAAATAAGGCCTTCCTGAAGCGAAAGGGTAAGCGATTCCCATCGCCTTGCTCGTTTCCACTTTCGCTTCTGTGGTAATCGTGTTTTTTGCTGGGAACTGCCACGCGCGTTAATTCTTAAGTGCTTTATTGCACCGCACCTCATTTATGAGCTAAAGAACACTACAATTCAAAATACAAATTTCTTCAACTCAAATAGCCAACTGCGGTCAACAATTGTTTTTTTCATAAACATATTTTTTATTGACTTAATAAGTCTAAATTGTTTTCACGCCGAATTATTAAGGTGAGAAAGTTTGTATATGCTATCAAAAATAAATAAATAAAATAAATTAGACTAACCAAAATATTAAATAAAGGTTTACGCACAAATATTTGCGATACGGCAAACATAATTTTAACACCACATTAAAAACCGCTGGACAGTGCAATGAAAATAAAAGAGCCATATGGCAACAGCGGCGGCACACAACAGAGATTCGGGCAGATGGGTAGTACGTCAGCCGAAAATCGAAGTCACTATTTTATTTTTTTTTTAATCTGCAACACAAAAGCGTGTAATAACAATTCGTTTGCATAGAGTTGTTGTGTGTCTATAAGAATGCTCCAAATTGGAAATACAAACCCTGTTTTAATGGATTTACACAGTGTGCGCTAAAATTAAGTGCGCTTAAAAAGGTTGTTAGTGAGTAGCCCAGTTAATTTGCATTTGCTACAAACTTATTTAAATTGTCAATTAACAAGTTAAATAGGTATGTGATTACAATAATTTAATAAACTAAATGAACTATTTGTATACATATAGATATCGAACAGTTCAAAGTTGTTTTGTAAAGGTTTCAAGATTATTAGCGCCTATTGGAAATTACAGTCGCAACGACTACGGCACCAGATACGGACGGCTTTCGAAGTAAAGTGAAGTTAATGCAATCCCCCCCTCAAAAAAAAAAACGCTAAACGCGCTACTAAAAGTGATGAAGATGGAAAGGAAATGATTTGAAAAAAGTAGCATCCTTGAAAGCGGGATATTGTTGCAAACAAAAAAGTATCGCGCGATAAAAATAAACGCAACGCTTTGAATTTCTAATTTAACGTAGACTAGCGGCTTTTAAAAGTTGCAAAAATCTAAATAATATAAAAATATAGTTTAACCTGCGAAAACCAAAAAAAAAAAAAAACTCTCGACTATCCACCACCGCCTTTGTGTTCTCACCGAATCTTTCGCATATCCAGCGCCTCAACATTCGTTCGTTCGGCACCATGACGCCACGCGCCAATGCAGAAGTCGAAACTGCTTCAACAAAACACTCGGAATATTCCTTTTATCGTTTTAATCGTATTGCCAAAGTGTAAGTTTTTTTCTTTTAAACAGAAATAGCTTAAGAATACCAAACTGTGCATACTTAACGTGCCGCGTTATATTTATTGCATAAAAGGCAGTGAAACATTTTCACGTGATAACTTCGCCGCCAGCGATTACATCATAAAATTCAAATGCATTCATTGTTCATCGTTTGCCACCCGTGTCAATATGCTTTTCGTTCGTTTCAAAATGTGTGAAAATCCTTTTTGTTAATTGTTCGAGTTTTCTATGTAGTACATATAATAATCGAACAATGTTTGCCTAAATATTTAACAGTGATCGGTAAAACGGAGCAAAACAAACGCTGTTGGTTCTTTTAATTTGCATTCAAGTATTTAAAAGCCAATGAATTAAATGTTAAAAGGCTTGTTTATAGCAAGTCGTATTTCTTGTGAGTCACACTGTAGTGCATATTGAACAATTTTAATATTTTGTGAATTCTCTATGAAACTACATAGTTATTTTAATTAGTTGTGAAACAAATTTCGAGTTTGAAGTAAGTTAAAAAAAGAGGACGATCTGAAGCAGTGACGATCAAAGAGACCATTTACTATATATATACATATATATACATTACATATGTACGTCTTCATATAAAATTTATGAAATTATGTAAAAACTTTGTGCCGCGGGATAAGTTTTGATCGTGACTAATCTAAAGGCAAAAATGTTGATTGTGGATAACGGAAGCATTCTGCAAGTGAATAATCTGAATCTCATGTCACGCCTTAGTTTATTTATGTGTTGGGTCTACGTTAAGAGCTGAGTGAAGAGAAGAACATGGGCATCTCACACAAGTGTGTGTATGTGACCCAAACATTTTGCCTTCCAAATACTGCCGAAACGCACTAGAATATTATTATTTGATAATTTTTCTTCTTGTATCCAAAATAATGAGTATGTTGCGATATCATCCCCCTTATGTCAGAATTTACCAATTTTAAGGTATTGGGTTGACTTAATTAACCTTTGGATGTTCTATGTTATACCAAAACCCAGAATACCACGCGTACACGGAAACCACATATTTTACAACGTCAATTAGATGAATGTAGAATTAAGTCTAGTAAAAAAAACTTTCGAACTTTATTTCCCAAAATTTTCATTTTTACACATTCATGTTTCTGCCATAAGGGGGACAATATTTAATATAAATGGAAGATATATTGTACCTCCTGTTATTTATGAGTTATGAATGTTTTACCAGTAGACTATTTTATAACAATTTTTAGAAGTACAATAATTTTTAAAGCTGATTTCGGAAAAATTATGTTCTCCTATTAGAGTGTTTTCAAAAGCTTACAGTCCGTTGTTGAAGCAAAAATTTGAACATTTTTATACCGGCTAACGTTGGGGCATTGATTTCAAAAATGGAATCAAAAAATAATTCCGCGTCCATTATATTGGATTTCAATCGTTTTTATTTGTTTTCTTTCGCGAAGTATGAAAATTTTAATGAAAACTAGCAAATACCCGGCGTACTTCACTGCGCCTTAAAAGTATTTTTGTGCTGTTTAATACCCATCTTGTAACATTTTATTTATTTTTTCAATTAAATTGAATACAATTTTTCAAACAGGCGGCAACCCTCTTCAAACATATTTCCGACAGAAAACTTTCCTAAACATCCTCAGTTTGACACGCATATTGCAATATTCAATTTACTTTATCAATTAAAATAATTAAAATTTTCAAACAGGTGGCAACCTTCAAAAAAATTGTTTCTACTGTAAGCCTTCTTAAATGTCTTTCTTTTGACAGCCATATTGAAATATTTACTTTATCTAGTCAATTTACGTAAACTGCTATTTTCAAACAGGTGGCAACTTTATAATTTTTTTCCTTCTATATTTTAAGTTAGACCTCTAGCAATACACAGGTGGAAACTGCATTCAATTAAATGCATTAGTTTTCGAGACAAAAATTTTAAAAATTTTGGATTTGGCTAAATGTTTTATTTTGCCGGTCCCGAGAAATGATTAATACATTTTAAAAATGCAACCGCTTACCAAATTTCAGTCAAATATCTCGAGAACTTAGGGACTTGCTTGCGTTCGCACAGCACATACAGACGAGCATGGCTAAATCGACTCAGCTCGACGTTCTGATCGTACTTCTTCTGCTACTTACAGACATACGAACAAAGTTATAATATTTTTGAAATTTTATTTCATTAAAGGAATAAAAATCGGTATCTCGTACAAGTGTTTATGTTTGTGAAGAGCTATGATCAGAAACAAACGCAGAGGGCTTTTACGAGTCGTCTAAATATTTACCATTTTCTACGCTATACTCCAACATAAACGCATCCCTAAAGGGTTTTACTTACGAAAAATGTCGTGAGTGCAATGTGGTGACATGGTCGGTCTGCTGGGTCTACCAGGGTTAATGCTGCTCGTTATATAAAGGTCTATTGCAACCAAACTCTTGCAGCAAGGGGTTGGACACTAGGCTTGGAAGCCGTTACGAACAAATCAGCACTAAAACCATTTAACCATTCCACGATTTTGTAGCAACAAAAAATTCTTAAATAAATTTTTTTTGCGAAAAATTAGTCAGTGGTAAATTTCTTTCTATCGAAAAACGTAAATAAGAAATTTTTAAATAATTTATATTTCCATGGAACTTGGCTTAAATTTGATAAACACAATAAATTCCACTCTCATTAGAGTTTTTGAAAAAACTTTGCATTGCAAAAATCATTAACAGGAATAATTTGTAATGATTTTACAGATCTTTTAATCAGTTAGATAAGTCAAGGATCTAGCTTAGTATAGGCTTACACTTACATAGCTTCAATAGCCACTAATAAATCTTTCAACATCCCATTTTCGCTCTTTCAGTCTTCCGGGCGTTGATGATGATGACAACGATAGCTTTCTGGATCCATCTGACGATGCGGTCAATTTAAAGCCACGTCAACAACATTGGGCCAACAAAATGCAATTCGTGCTAGCCTGCATAGGATACTCAGTGGGGCTGGGCAATGTCTGGCGTTTTCCCTATATGTGCTATAAAAGTGGAGGAGGTGAGTAGACATACATACATAAGTGAATGACTAATGCTTTTAAATGTCAAAAAAGTTACTTAATACCTATGTAAGTGTATGGCAGCTTGTATGTAGGCAGCGCATTTATAAAAACAAAAAAAAAAAATCTCAGCCATTACTCCATGACTAAATGAAAAGTGACATTTGAGATTCTCAATCAACAGCTTAACGCACTCAAATGCTAGTTACGATTTGTTTTTCACACTTTAAACTGCAAACATATTTGATTTGTTGTATTCAATTGTTGTTTAGTACGTCCGGTGTGTGGAAGTCTTTAAGTGTAATTGACGAGCATTTTAGTAATAAAAGTTTTTGACATAAACGTCTCTGCAGATAACTTATGAATGGTCATAAATACTACTTAAAAAGTTTAGCATCTGCGATTTTTCATGCTTATCATGTGAGCGGTGAACAAAAACAAAATGGACAAAATGTGACATGTAGACGCTAGTTAGCATAAATAATGCTACATTTAACTAAAGGCTTAAGCATATGATTTTAAGAGCTGAGAAAATATTACACCTTGCGACAGTAAATTTTACACACAAACAATTTGATATATATTCGCGAAACCATGGGCCAAATATAGTAAAACTACGTTTTTATTTTTTCTCTCTGACGTCAGGATTTTTTTTTTTTTTTTTGAAGGACTTTGAAATTGGAAAAATATAATTACCTACTTCAAAAAATTATTTAAAAAAATTTTGTGCAATGTAGAAAAACAGTGTGACTATCAAATTCAAAGAGAAAATTCTGTAGAATTAAGGCCAATTAAATTTTTTGGTGCATACGGACGATTAAGTATTGAAAGTGTCCTTTTAACATTTTATCATTGAATATCCTTGAAATTTGCCAATAATCACTGGACCACATCCTCGAATTTCGACATTCTAACTTTATTCACTTAAAAAAATAAAACTAATTAAAAGGAAATTTTCAATACGTATTCGTCCTTGTGAACCAAAAAATTTAATGGTTTTTAATTCTACGGAATGTTCTCTTTCATTTGGTACCCATGCTGTTGGAACATTGGAATGAATTTTTTAAATAATTTTTGGAAGTAATCACAACTTTGAAACTACAAAATCCTTTTGAAAAAAATCCTGATGTCAGAGAGAAAAGCTAAAAATGCAGTTTCACTATATTTAGCCCATAGTTTCGTGAGTATATTTATTGCTTCATGTGTCTCGAAATTTTTTTGTTTTTTCCACACTGTGTTATGAGCAAATACTGTTTTATCTATTTCTTAACAAAAAAAATAATACATTTGAGGCGCGCATTTTTTTTATACTATTTTAATTTCAATAGGGCATATTTATTTAAAAACATTTTTAAAAACTAATTTTTTTATTTTATTTCAACCGTGCCTCATTAAACTACATTTTTTTTAACCAAGATCGCCGTACACCCCTAAAGTATGTTTGCAAGGCAATTTGGAAAAGAAAAACTCTTTGGTAGAACAATACATTTTTTTAATTGTTCTACCGCAATAATCGAAATACTTTCTTAGCAAAAGTTGGATTTTCGGCGAGTTTTAATTTACTGACATTAGGGTGGTACGTTAGTGGGATAAGAACTGACATCTGATGTGTAAGTACCAGAACGGGGTATTTGAGGTCAATGAGCTTTGGGAAAAAAAAATTTTGTCCTCGTTATATCATACTTTAAGATTCGACTGTAAATGCCGTAGATATGACGAATAGTGTAAAAAGGCGATCTCTACGTTCGCCCAAAAAATCAAAATTTGATCCTCTGTATGTACAGTTTTTCTGTATTTAAGAAAAAAGCGGTATGTTTGTGCGCGCATCACTCGGAAACGAATGCATGGAATTGAATGCAGTTTCCACCGGTGTAATGCTAGAGGTCTAGCTAAAAATATAGAAAGAAAAAAGGTAAGAGGGTTGCCACCTGTTTGAAAAATGCAGTTTAAGTAGATTGATAAGTAAATATTGCAATATGGCTGTCAAAAGAAAGAGGTTTATAAAGGTTTACAGCCGAAAAATTGTTTTTAAAAGGTTGCCACCTGTTTGAAAATTTTAATTTAATTTAATTGATAAGATAAATTGAATATTGCAATATGGGTATCAAACTGAAGAGGTTTAGGAAAGTTTACTGCCGCAAACATTTTTTTGAGGAAGATTGCCACCTTTTTGAGAACTTACCTTAGTCTCCGGTGTGTACGGTTATTTTTTTCTATTACGGTCTATTGTACATAAAATATCATACAAAAATGTACATGTATTTCTTTCATTAATTTCATTTATTCATTTTTGATTTGAATTGCTTTTAACTCTTTCGTTTTTCTATTTGTTTTTTTTTATTATTTATCATTTTCAGGTGTGTTCTTAGTACCTTATTGCATTATTTTGTTTATATGCAGCATTCCTTTGTTATTTATGGAATTATCAATTGGTCAATACACCGGACGTGGACCAATTGGAGCGTTAGGACAACTATGCCCGCTTTTTAAAGGTAATATCCACAATTTGATTTAATTTTAGACCTATTTACATATGTATGTAGCTTTGTGCTTTGAAATTAAGGAAAAAGCGACTTTTGTTTTGAAATTTATCACATTTGAGACTACTTTAAGTAGATAAGTGCAAAAAACGGGTTAGACCACTTCTGCTCTCATGGCCTCATATATTTATTGAGAGTTTTTTCGATTTAGTTTTATCCATAAAAAAAAATATTTCTCTTTGAGTCCAATTTAAAATTGTTCAAAATAAATATTTGCCTTCATTGGCTGTATTTCTTTATTCATTCTGAACGTTTGGAATAAACTTTTTTGTTTACTTATTCTTTAGAACGTTCCTCATGATATGTTAACGTATATTTCAAAAGTGTTCTGTTTATTCCGGCTGTGAAATGGGATTATCCGGAATGTATAAAGAAACGCAGCCATTTTCTAAGCACATATTTGAAGTTTTTGTATCACTTTATGATTTTTAATGAATAAGTCCTTGGTACAAAAAAAACTGTCACCGAAGTACTATTTACTCTCGGTTTCTCTTATACCAGCATCAGCTGCTTTTCAAATGCAATCAGGCTCGACATTCGGTAGTGATTGTGGCAGAAAACATAGAAAAGTATATTCATTCTTGTCATTAGACCTACTTTTCTATTCTAAAAGATTACCTTTGTAGTTTTTAAGCTATATTACTTCTGTACTCGCCTCGTCTTGGTCTAGTAGGGGGACTTAACCTTCGTGCCTATTTTATGGGTTCTTCTTCGCCAAATGCGCCATCTATGTATTCAAAAGCATTGAGAAGTGTTTCCTCCATATCTCAAGTGTACTCTGCGTATACTAGCGCTGCGATCTGGTTGATCTATTAGCCAATCTCAAACTAATTATAAAGCTTAGCACTCATCTTCCATATACTTGATGGAGACAGTTAGATAAGCTGGCTAGCCTCTATGTGGCTTCGCAGAGACCATTTAAGTCCATAGCGTTACCAGATAAACTACAACCACATTAGGCAGCTAATAACTGAGTTCCATGAGCAATGTTCAACAACATCGCAGTCCTCTTGGCAATCTGGAACACCTTAGTGTACCCCATCTTGGCAACGGTATCCAGATTAAGCAGAAAGCCTGCTCCCGCTTGAGGCAGGACACTCGCAGATGACATATTTTTTGCCACTGGTCAGAGCCAGTTTTGAGGGCGCGCAAGAAGAGAAATGCCAGCAGACAACGTCCCACCTTTCTCTTGAGGGATAGGATAAACTTCGTGAGCTTTTTCTCATACGCTCTACACATAATCCTGCAGCCTTGTATTCCACATCTTCTTCGCCTTCCGTATCAGGGGCAGGTCCGGCTTTCCGTTAAATCTTACTTAAAAAGTTAGCGAATTCTTTTTGTGTTTTTGGTATATAGTATAACGTATGGAAAAGTCCATTAATAGACCTTTTTGAATTTTAAACCAAATTTTGTTCAGGTTTCAATTTATGAAGGTACATTTAAAATTAAAAATTTAAAATTCAAAAAATAAAATCTCTTGATATTTTTAAGTGGCTGATGTCGTTAATCCTTTTCTAATTCATGTATAATCCTTACTTAAGTAGGTAGTAAGGATTACTACGGTAAGTAGTAAGGATAAGACATGGATTATACCCGGATTAGTCACATGAGTCACTTAACAATAGTAACAGTTTTTATTTTTTGAATTGTGCTGTTATTGCTTTGTTTTAATATTTCAAACTTTCAAACATTTTCAATCACCATATCAAGTGCGACCACTAGAAGGCCAGTACGTATTATTTATGAGTACATATAGCCACGATGCATAGACAAGTATGTTTCGGCAGCCAAATATGAATGGCACCAATGTACGAGTACAATATTCGAAAATACAAAGATAATCTAATTACACGTGCTATACAACAAAATTTACAACCAAATGAAAAATTGTTATTGTTATGGCAAAATGTGTAACAATGAGTGCACACACATTTATGTACATATGTTCTAATATACCTTATATACGATTATTTATCAACAACAATGATCTGTCGACCTTGTCCCTGACCAACCTCGCACACCAGTTTGGTAGCAACAGGTTACTAAATATTTTCCGCATAGCAGTTTTGAATTACTTACAGAACATTTTGCAAAATCAACTCACAACACTGATCTAATTTCAGCACATGTGTGCCACACTGAGAGAAATAACGCATAGTAAAAATTAATACTTCATATTTGGATTATCGTTTAAAAATGTTCGTATTTAAAAATAATAGGGCTGTTCAGGATCTTGTGTATATGCTCTTGCATTTGCATATTCGTTGCATTTGTAAATTCACGACAATAAAATGCACATGGTTGCCATGGTAGCAAGCATAAAATTTTCCAAATGCAATTCCAACTGCAAATCCCACTCCATTTTCACAACATCCTGAACTGGCGTACTATTTTCATACAAAAATTTATTACGCACATATTTGACTGTTCACATCTGAGTATGTACAAATGTATATGTAAGTGTACATACCCCTGCAGTAAATCGTGCTAGTTCAGAACCAGCGCAGAACTAGCTCTTTAAGAAGCGATACTGGTTGTCGACCTATCCCAACGCAATGCTTTCAACTGTGTCTGGCGATGTCCTACGAAGTGGAAATAGTCACCGCTGCAGAACTTTCGAACTAATTCTGCACAGGTTCCATTTTCGACAGTTCTGGGACAATAAGTTTTTTATGAGAAAAAAATTTAAAACTAATTTACTGGATATTTTTTTCTTTTATGAACTGTTTTCATTTTGGACAGATCTGCGGCAATAAGTCTTTTATGAAAAAAATTTTGATTATTCCATTTTTTGATTTTTTTTAATTTTTTCTGTTCTTTTACAGATTGCATTTTATTTAATTTTTTATTCTTTTATTTTATTTATATTAAATTTGATCATTTTCTCTTCAATTTTTAAGCGGCACTCAACAATTTAAATTTACCAACGATGTTAGAGTCAGAGGTCCTCCCGCTGAGCTATTTTAGTGCTGTACGAGAAGTGAGAATTTGTGCATTTACTTCTCAACAGAGCACAAGTAGCACACCAAAAGTTTCAACTGTCCCTCTCTGCAGCCGTTTTGCACTAGTTCAGAGATAGTTCTGAAGTGTAGAGGGCGGAACTAGCGCTTTAACAGCCTGTCTCTAAATTTTATTGCAAGGTACGCATCCCAACCATGCAGAGCGGCGATAACACACACATACATACATAGCAAATGTTTATCCGTATAAATCGCGTGCTGTGGTTTTTTAGTTTTTGTCTTGATTATTCACTTCACGGATGCTTTTTCAGAACGAACGCAGTAATTTTAATATGCGCGTAATTTAATTGAATATTTACAAATATACAGTACTTTCGTTGACGTTTATAGTAAGATCAACTACGTTTCTATTTGATTTTAATATTTTTTCCCCTCAGTGTATGAATATACTAGCTTCTATATCCTTGTGAATTTTCCGCTTTCGCTAGCTTTTATTGAAAAGTGATACAATTTTTTTTATGGTTCATACATACTAAATATGTATATGTTGCTGCATTAGAAATATGTATTTATATATGTATGATGTATCACAGCCAGATTTGTAATATCCATGTTCATTCACACATACTCATGTTTGTTTGTGTTTTTTATGTTGATATATGGTAATTAGCTGAATTATCAGACTTAACATTATTTGACAAGGTGTGAAAAGGTATAAACGATACTGACGCGAGCAAAAGAGCAACAGAGATACATACAGTATCGGTCATATCAATAGCATCCCCATTTCAAAGTGATATTGTTTGCCACTTATGTATGTTTAATTCTTTATTTTTAAGAATTTTCAATTAAAATACAGTTAGTTCTCTAACAAAAGCCATATTAATCCAAGTTTATAACTTTTTTCTCAGAAGTGTTAGACATTTTTTGAGTACACAGTTTTATAGCCCATTCAATTTTAGTCTAATAATGTGCAAGTTTCAAGTAGCTAAAAATTACCGTGAATTTTTCTAGATTTTTTCGCATTTGCTCCATATAACGAATAAACACAATTTATTTTTTTATGAAAGAAACCAGCAATACCTTCGGCGAAAAAAGTTCTAAAACATCAACGGTATATGGATTAAAAAAGTATAGTATTCTCGTTTTTTATATATAAAAACAATCATAAAAAATTCATCGATTCTCCTTCTACTCAAGTAAATAAATACTTACAACAACATCTTGACAAAAAATAAGATTATTATGGATTTTCTGAAAGTTTATCTCGGAAGGCACTTTATCGATTTTTACCAATCCCTATTCATTAAGTTTCGGTTAAAAACACCCTTGGTTATCATGTATTGTACATTATTTACTTATTAAAAAACGGGTTCGGAGACCAGACTATACTTTCCTTGTGTATTTTGATGCGCTGAACCCGAATCTGAAATCTTTTTCGCTCCATCGCGGTAGAATTTTATCCTAATCTCAGCGACACGTTTTTAAGGTTAGGAAAAATCCCGACGTTCCACTTTTTTTCATAAAAAAACTCAAAAAGCGCACAAGTAGGGAAAAATCTCCCCTACAAAATTCTAAGATGGCAAAGATGTGTCACGTCAACAAATGCATTCTAAATAGCCAAACGTGTGTATGCATATACATTAGGGTGGTCCAAAAATGCATGTGAAAAAAGTTAAGTCGGAATTTTAATGCCAAAAAAATACACCCCTGTTTTTATTTTGAAATGAATAAAATATTTAGAGGTCGCTCAAAGCGCTCAAAGTTTTCCATGTATTTTGTATGTGGAAAAAAACAGTTTTCGTGGGAACGGTATAGAATTCTTGAAAATCGATATTTTTTTGATCGGAAAACTTTGTTTCTCTTCAGGAGGCTATCAATATTAATACCCAATTGTTTATTTTATTAATACTGGCGATTTTTGTGGGTCCCCACATTGCATTTTTTTTTTGTTTTTAGGGTCCTATAAAAAATAGTTAGTATTAGAAGACGGTTAAATAAACAATTGAGTATTATTACTTAAAGTCTCCTGAAGAGAAACAAAGTTTTCAGATGGAAAAATATTGATTTTCAAGAATTCTATACCTTTTCTAAGAAAACCTGTTGTTTTCCCATATAAAATAAGTGGAAAACTTTGAGCGATTCCTAAATATTTTTTAATTTTAAAATAAAAAAACAATGGTATAATTTCTTTCGGTACAGAACAATTTTAGGGTGTGAGAGCATTCAAATTCCGACTTTAGTTTTTTTTAGACCACCCTAATATGCATGCAAACATTCATACTACATACATATGTACATATGTACGACATTTAGTATGTAACTTATAAATATTAATGAAAATCCATAAACCACAACAGAATCCATTTAATTAGACGCCTGCCTCTATACTCATTACAAATTCAAAGCTCGCTTCAAATATTACAATTTGTTCAGTGGTTAGAATTTTCAAATATTAAATGTCTAGACTCTGGAATTGAGGCAAAAAGTATGAATATATGCAAATACTTAAATAAATATGTATATTTGTAGGTGTATGTATATGAAAACTGCATATATGAAATTAGTAAATGCATACCATAATAATGTGTGGATGTAGTTAATTTTAATAGAGCAATAATTTTAACACCTACTCTTCCTCGTAAAATTATAATGGCAATGTAGAATTGCGCTAATAAAATCCGGGAAATTTTTGTAATAAGATTCTATAGCTTTTAAAATGCTTTCAAATGGAAGCGTACACTTTTAAGATGAATCTATTGGCAATCACGGTTGATCTTTCCTTAAAATATAAGGTGACGCCGGGTTTGGTTAAATAGATTAGGTTAGGTTAGTTGGTCGATCCCAATTGAAGACACATTCGGTTGTGCTTTGTGATAACACTTGATTTTCATTGCTAACCACTGTCCAATCGAATCAACAACGCGAACCAATCACTAAGCTACGGAGACGGCACTGCTAATTTGTGAAGACATCTGAGACCTGCCTATTTACACCCGCATGTAATGAGTCCATTCATCTCAGCGAAGCATCATCGCAGTTAGCGCGACCTTATTTCCGTGAGAGATATTGAGGGTCCGTTTGACAACGCTACCTTTGACTCTATGTACCCTGCGACCACAAGACATTGAGTGGACGAAACCATCATAAGGTGGATTCACTTCATGTTATCTAGAAGATTCCTGACTGTGGTGACTGAAGCTTGCCTTTGTACCATGGCAGAGGTTGGGAGGGGGAGGCCCTCAGGGCGGAATGCTCTCAGCTCTGTTTTGGTGCTTGGTAGTGGACTCCACACTAACCGAAATACAAGACTTCGTTGACATCCAGCTGATCTTTGTGCACTGTCATCCCGAAGTTTTTCAGAATTGTACCGCGAGTCCCGTGGGTCACGAAATCTATCACTAAGAAAAATTCACATGTCTTTCAAATGAATTTTAAATAACAAAAAAAAAAATACTGAAATATCTGGCATCTTCCGATTATTCTGTTTTGATTTCCTGTTCGTTTTCATCCAAATAAAACATAAAAAAACATCGTTTTTAAGGAAGATTTTCTGAATTTGCGGAGGTTGCGTTTTTTATCGGGATTGTCGGGAAAGGATTTTGGTCCAAACCGGTCGCAAAATTTCACATACCTTGCCGATAGCGCCCATCCTGGCCAATTTGAAATCAGTACCGTGGGTCCCGATATCTCGCGCCCTTTTCTAGTCGCATGCACTGAGAATCGACGAGATACTGTCTCTTTCTGTCAGCAAACTGCTAAGATTCATAAAAGAGTCTAGAAAGTTTGCAGAGGAGCAACGAATTCCCACCCCACCTTTATATCTCTGTCCTCTAAATCCTGTCTCTAGGCCTTAAATACAATGGCCAATACTTCCTGAGTGCTCGGAAATTTTTTTTTTGGTTTTTCCGGTCACCCACAATTTTATTCCATTCCAATTCCACTGTGAGAGAACTGTCATAGAAGCGTTACATCTGCCAAAGGTGTTAGACACCTTCTATTTCACGCTAATGAAATAAATTGGGACTTCCTCTTGCCCCCATGTCTCAAACGGTGGACTGCGAATTATCTGTGTGCCGTTGTGGTGCCCTTTTTTCGCTTTTGTTTATGTAACTGTTACAAATCGAATCTCTCCTAGCCACCAGAGGGAGTTTCCATGAGCTCATAGATTCACGATTCATTGATATTGCCGTCCGGTAAAGCGATTAATGACCAGTGCTTAAAAATAAATGGTTGTCTCCACGACCTATCTTGCTATTTTACCTGCTACGCAAGTGCCGCAATAAACTTCCATAGCAGCCTATCTTCCGCAACTCCTCTGGCATGCCGTTTACGATCCCTATCTCCGGCAGATGAGAAGAGATCTCCAAGCTTGCGATACATGAGCCTTATTAGGTTAGTTTCAACCACGAGCTTATCTGCGAATTTTATTACTTCCTGCGGTAGGACGTTGTTAAAAGTCCGCTCGATGTTGAGGAAAGCCGTTAGTGCTAAGTTTTTCATGAAGAAGGCTTCCACTACACACTTTAAAATTGCTAGTAGAGCGGTCTCCAGAGACCTTCTTTCATTGTAAGTCCGTTGAGCTTTAAATAGACAATCTCAAAGAAACTCAGCTCCTATGTGCAGATAAATATCAGTGTCTCAGCGTCCTTAGATAAAACATGAAAGCACTTTCTGGTCCGCGAAGTAAGCGCTTCCTTGACGACTTTTCAAGCTCTGGGAATATAGCCTCAACTCATACAATTGGCATATATATAAGAGCCAGCCACCTACGCAACACCTCCAGTTCTTGCAGCTGTGCAGGAATCAGGCTGTGCGATCCGGCGAAGCAGAAGTATTTGAACGAGTTTATCGCCCATGTCCGGTGACGTATCCAGCAGGTCGAAATGGGCCCTGCAACTTTCGTGCCTTGCCCCGGGTATGGAATTCAAAGAAAATGGCATCAATGATTTAGCGATTTTCCACTGCTCAAAGTCCTGTCTCGGCTCTCGGTAGCGCAATGGAATTTTTCTTATTTCGGATTTGTAGATTCCCAGTCCAGTTCAAAAAAATTCGGAAGGCATTTTGCTTCTTTAGACCATAATGAAGGCATCTGCTTGAAGCCGTCATATCAGAGCTCCGCAGTTCGCCAGGAGGGCAACCCTCAGCATTTCTGTATGTACATAGAAGTGAAAACTGCGATAACTGCAGTACCAGATTTCTTAAGCGTTTTCTAGTAGAGTGCACTTCGTCCAGAGTAAATTGAATTTACATAAGAACCCATCAGTCCTATATAAAAGATACTAACTCAGATATTGTTACAGGAGTTTACAGAAAAACGTTTTTATAGCATTTTATTTCTTAATTGTTACTTAATTTAAATTGCTTTTATTTAATTTCTTATGCTTTCAGGCGCTGGTCTTGCTAGTGTAGTTGTATCCTTCCTAATGTCCACTTATTATAGTGTCATCATAGGTTATTCAATTTATTACTTTTTCGCATCATTTAGACCAGACATGCCATGGATTGATTGCAATAACAGGTACATGTTTCTTTTTCCTCTAAAATTTTGTATACATTTGGCGTTCTTCGAGGTTCGGAACTTTTAACATATATCTCGAAATTAATCTTATATTTTAACCCCTTTTTTACTATTGTTTTAGGTGGAATACGCCAGACTGTTGGGTATCGCAAGGACCTTTCAAAGATACTTTTGCACCAAACACATCACGCACACCGTCTGAAGAGTTTTTCGAGTAAGAAAAATAAGTTTTCGGCAATTTTTTTATTGAAAAAAATAAAACATCACTGTTTTTCATTTTTTAAATTCACGTAATTACTTTCAGAAACAAAGTTTTACAAATCAGCCCTGGTATTGAGTATCCAGGTGCAATGCGTTGGGAATTGTTTGTCTGTCTCATATGTGCCTGGCTTATGGTCTACTTCGCCACATGGAAATCGATCAAATCATCGGCGAAGGTAAATTAAAATGCAACCGTAATAATGCAAGAAAAAATTTAAAGTAAAATGACTACATAGATTTCAGGGTTAGTTCAGATTACAAAGTGAGGTCTTTATACTTCTACTCGGAGGTATATTTGCTCAATTTGATAGGTCCGATAGCTTCACTTTCATTGTCTTTACCAAGCGGATGAAACGCGAGATCCCAAGATCGTCCTTTCCTTGAGAGCTGGATATTGGCATAGGAAATAGTGAATTCTTTCCTACCTTCTCATTACAAACTTTTAACACCAACAATTCGTCAGACCGTTTCTTGTTAAGTATTGGTTATAATAAGGATATGAAAACTTTGCAGTTGCCTCGAATGGTCAATAGGCCATTTGTTTCGGCTGTAGTATACTCATCAAGTTTTACAAATAGCTGATGTTACAGAGTTGTACAAATGACTTTCCCTGATAGAGTCTTCTCTATGGCAAAGATCCCCGTTTTAAAGACACTTCAGTTATCAGGCAGGCCTGATCTGCACGTTCTCCCAATAGAGACCAGCGCCAACTACTATTTTTACTTTGAGTTGTCGTTCCATTCTTCCCTAGTTGGAGGTCTTAACGCTGTGTGTAATCTTTGATTTGTAGCGGCTTTTAGTGAAAGATCATATTCAACTCTTCTTGACAGACATGCGTGATCGGATGTGACAGGCTAATCCAGTGGTCCGCGCATCAACCTATTTACATGAGCGAAGCAAGCAAACCGTGGCCAACAATAAAATGTCTTCCCATCCGGTGAAATATAAGGACAATATTGTTCTTGTTTTCGGCAACACCACATCATTGGACCCTCGAACGTGTGCGCAAACTCCGCCCTCGTGAATCACCAACGTACTGTACAACAAGAGAGGTAGGCCGCTGTCAAGAAACTAAGGCGTTAGATATGAAGGAATCTATATACAGATGCTGAAAAAACTCTCCGCGGTACAATCCTGAAAAACCTCGCTATGAGCGGGTTCGGGACTTAAACATGGAATTTCGGGATAGGCGGGATCGGATTTGAATCGTGCCCATCTCTAGTTCTCATAACATCCAACACCACTTCGCATGCACCTCCAACCCGACGACCCTAACACCGGAAGCCTTATGGACTATACCCATCGACGTCGCCCGCTTCCTCGGCCTCTGGCTTGCCGAGTCAAAGGCTGAAGAGGTCACAACGTGACATGACTCCTACTAGGGGTTTAGTACTGCTACTACAAAAACAATCCTTCCGACTATTTTATAGTTTTCATTTTTATTCTTCGAAGAGAGAATGGATTAGTCTTTTGACTTTAGCGTTTTGTTCAACATATTTTACTGAGCTTGAGGCGTTTTGTGTAAATATTTTATATAGACAAAGTATTATTTAGTGGTAACTGAATGTATATAAGGATAAAAATTTTGGCCTTATTAATGTATCTCACTCTATCCTCTAACGGGATGCGCTAATATTTCAACAAATTGCCCATTTGTTTTCTTTTCCCAGGTACGCTACTTCACCGCCACTTTCCCCTTCATACTAATTATCATACTTATGGTACGTGCGGTCACGCTCGAAGGTGCCGATGAGGGTTTACGCTACTTCTTTCGACCAAATTGGTCCGAATTGAAACATGCCAATGTATGGATAAATGCTGCATCGCAAAATTTCAACTCACTCGGCATTACATTCGGCTCAATGATCTCTTTTGCGAGTTATAACAAATACAATAACAACATTGTACGCGATACGGTGGCTGTAAGCGTTGTGAATATGCTAACTAGTCTATTGGTGGGTGTATTTGCATTTGCAACTCTGGGAAATTTGGCGTTGGAACAAAACACGAATGTACGCGATGTGATAAGCGATGGGCCAGGTTTGATATTCGTGGTATATCCACAGGCGATGGCAAAAATGCCATATGCACAGCTGTGGGCGGTGATGTTTTTCTTCATGCTACTATGTTTGGGTCTCAATTCGCAGGTGAGTGTCCATGCAAGACGAGGCGAATTTTATTTGAAAACGTAATGATGTTTTCTTTTGTTTTTATTTTTATTCTTTGTAGTTTGCCATTGTTGAGGTGGTCGTGACTTCCATACAGGATGGTTTTCCAAATTGGATTAAACGCCACTTGGGCTATCACGAGATTGTAGTGTTGTTCGTGTGCGTTATCTCCTTTCTTTTTGGTCTACCAAATCTGATACAGGTGAGTTCGCTTGGACCGTGCTACGAAAATGAGAATTCTCTCGATTTATTTGTTCATCGTTTCATAATCTTGATAGTTATAGGTTTATATCTACGGAGCCTAATGTAACCTAAGATAACATGTGTAACACAGGATTCAGTGATTTTAAATTGATCGGCTCACATTTTGATTAATCATTTTATTTGTGACAAATCAAAAAATCCATTTAATTTGTGATTTGATTCGCTCATCAATTCAGAAATTAAATATTTTTTGTGATTCCATTCACTGAGCTGAAACGAGGTGAGTTCAGTTCAGTTAAACTAAGGTTAGGTGAGATGAGGTGAGTTAAGGTGAATTGAAATGAGGTGATTTGAAGTTAGTTAAGGTAAGTTGAGGTTATTTAGGGTGAGTTGAAGTTAGTTGAGTTGAGCTAATAAGGTGATAAGGTGAGTTGAGTTAAGTTGAGGTGAAGTGAGGTAGGCTACATAATATGACATAGCATATATTCATCTACAGTTGTATCCATGATAAAAACATTACAAGGTAAGTTCATTCTCTCAATTCGTCGGCCATGATTTTTTTCTGACGTTTGCACGCATTTTAAAATCATTTAAAATTGAAAATAAAAAAAATTAAATTATTCACAATTGTTGTTATTTGAGAGTGAAAATGAGAATGTGTTTTTGTGAGTTTGAGTTTTGAATTTTTAAATTACATTGCTGGCAAACATCACACTGCCTCTCAATGGTTCTACCTTGTTATGTTTTTATCATGGTTTTATCTTTGTATTTTTATCTCTAACTCTCACAAACAAAAGTATTTATAATTTTTCTCAATATCTGCAATATTTTTTATTCTCATTTATTTTCGGTAATATTTTATAAAAATATACATAGTTCGTCCTACATCAAAAACATAAAAACTGAATTCAAAACTTTGTGCAAAACTCAGGAAAATTCAATAAATTTGCAACTTTCTATTCAGTTTTTTTTTTAAAGTGCAAGCTTGAAGTTGCTAAAAAATCGGGTTGATTTTTGGCAATTTGGTTATACTAAAATTGAATGGGCTTATAAAACTGCATACTTAGAATTTTTATAAAAATGTGAATAGAAAGTTGCAAATAAGTATGCAAATTTATTGATTTTCCTGAGTTTTGTACAAAGTTTAGAGATTTTGTTTTTACGTTTTTTGGTGAAGGACGAACTATATTTTTATTAAAAAATATTGGAAATAAATTAGAATAAAAAACTTTGCATACGACAGAATTCCTCTGTTATTCTTAAACCGCTGCTCAGCAAATTTCTGCATTTCACTTTCAATATTAAAGCATACATTTAGGAGACATTTTCGTCTCCAGCCATACAATGGTGTTGCATGTTGCATTCGCCATATTTATTTTTCAATTCAATTTCCAAAAAAAAAAAAAAAACTTTATAATATTGTAAAATTGTACTGTTTTTTTGTTTTAGGGTGGCATTTACTACTTCCAATTAATGGATCACTATGCCGCTTCTATATCGATTATGTTCCTTGCATTCTGCCAACTAATCGCGGTAGCTTGGTTCTATGGCACTGGACGGCTATCGAAGAATGTCAAACAGATGACTGGAAAAGCGCCAACATTATATATCAAAACTTGTTGGCTCTTACTGGGACCCTGTTTACTTTTTGTAAGTTTTCAATTAATTAAAAAGCACTTGAGAACTAATTCTAGCCCACCTCGCAGGCCATCTGGGTGTTGAGTTTAATCAACTACGAAGAACCAAGCTATCACAATGGTCGCTATAAATATCCTGACTGGGCCTACGGCATTGGCTGGATGTTTTCATCATTGTCACTCATCTGCATACCTGGCTATGCTATTATTAATTTGCTGCGCGCAGAGGGACGCACTTTCATGGAGGTATTTGCTCAGCTAACGAATTACCGTATGAAGTCAATTTAATCCTCGTCTTATTTTACAATTTTTTATTAACCCGCAGCGCCTTAAAAACACGCTACGCCCCAACATCTATGAGTGTCGCATTTGTGGCGAACATCATTGCGAGCACGACTTTCCTGAACAGGAACAATATATGCTTGCGCAAGAGCTATCGGGTATTTATAAACCAAAAGACCCATTGGATCCTAATGTGCAGCTGCATCATTTGAATGTAGGCAATAAAGCGGGCTATAACCCAATGCATCTGCAACGCGAGCCAACTGAATATGGGTATGAGGAAAAATCGCCACCAGAAGAAGATACTCAGTTGCCGCCAGCGTCCACAGCAAGCACATCGACAGCAGCGGGAAATAATAACAAAGTTTGAATAGGTTCTAATGCTAACAGCTATCGAAAGATGTTGGCCCCTGCGTGTACCTACTACTCACATACATTCCGCTCAGATAGTACTCATATTTAGTTAGATAAAATATTATTCAATTAAATTTGACGCATCGAAAATTAGTATTTTTTGCATTGTTCGCAAAATTTCGCTTTTTCTCATCATGCTTAACAAATCGCGTTGCTAGGTGTTCTCTGGAATTAAATACATTTGTTATACATATGTACATACATATCTACTACATATATGAAAATTTAAATATTTTCTATGCACATACTTACTATGTACACATATACATTCTGCCGATATTTAAATTGTAAATAAGCTAATTAAATTATAAAGTAGGTTGCACTAAAATACATTCCTACTTACTATTGACAATATGCTTTTGTATCTTTCTATATACATACATATGTATTATATTCAGAACACGTTTATACATGAAAATCTCAGCACATGTACTATATATATGTACATACATATATCGTCGTTTAAAGTAAAGAAACAGCGTATCGTCATTCTGCAAAACCACGTAACTGAGATATGCTGCCAAAAATTGGATTTACTCACACAAGCTATTGGCTTAATCCTTACCCATTCGTCCTGAAACATACTAGCCGGAAATGTGATTGGTTTATGAAAAAAGAGAACCATTTTGAAATATGAGTGTTTTTACTCTCTAGAAAATAATTTATGCAACCTCACATATGCGGTTTTTCATTATCTTGATACGCGGTTTTGTACTTTAAACGACTGTATGTATGTAGTTATGTATGTAAATTCAAAATTACTCAATAAAAAAATACAAATTTCTAAATATACATAAGCTTTAAAGACCAATGGTTTTAAATTTGGTCCAAATATGCCTATGGTAGAGATGCCCAGATGATTGATGTCAATGACCGACTTGTGGTTTCGACCGGAGGTGGGTTTAACCGACCGGAAGTCTTTTTTCGATCGATTTCAAGTCCCCCCATTTTCAAGGCAGAAATACACTCGAAGGTTGGGCATTGCCTGGAGGATGGCGACCGCTGTTAGAAACAACTATTTCTAATTTAGTTGTTGCTCGGCCCAGGGAACGAACACAGGTTATACATAGTGATAGTACGTACCTTTAACTCAGCCATAGCAACCGTAAAGGGTACTGTTTAGTAAGGGGTCCATTTATTTCGGGGTATTGCGTCCAAAGGGGTGACCCGATCCAAAAAAAGTGTTTGCACGCACCTTTAGTCTAGTGTCTACACATTATTTTAACACCTATTTTTGTAATTTTTGGTAAGTAATTTGTTAAGAAATTCGGTTTGAATTATGCTCTTTTTGTAAAATTCGGAAGTTAGCGTACATTTATCACTCCTATTCTACTTAAAGAAGCCACTTCGCCAATACATTTTTATATTCCACTTCACTTCGAACTTTATTCGATTACCTATAACTTTCTTTATTACATTAATTTTAACCAATTAATCACAATTTATTAAATAAAAACACCTTCAAAATTACGCGCCTACCTTCGCTTGCATATGCAAATTAAATGGCGGCGTTCAGCTGTCAAGCTCCAAAATAAACAAGAAGGATGAGAAACAAAAGAAAATAAGATATAACCCACGTAGCATTAAAAATATAAAGCTTTCCATGGAAAATATGTATTCGAAGGCTGAAAGGTGTTCAGTCCCCATTCTTTGGCAACACAGATAGGAGAATTCTACTAGCAGATGATTTTCTTGCCGAAGATTTTGTAACCGGAAAATTTTATTACCAAAAAATGTTACCAGTTCTTGTCATCGCGATTTTGGGTTCGTTGGTAATGAAGTTAAAATATTCAGCAATTCAGCTATGAAGAATTGTGCAAATTCTGGGCATTGCATATTTCACGGAGCAATACTTTGTTACCAGCTTATGGAGATGGTAACAAAATTTAGCGGTCACAAGAGTACAGAGAATGCGAGAAAGGTTTAAAAAATTACAGGAACTTTATTTACCGGTTACAAACTTTTAATTACTAGCGCAGAATAGACCTGTTAGTGAGGGCTATAATCCTTCAGTGCGGCCGAAAGCCGCCTACGCAGAAAGAAGTTATGCGCTAAAATACTATCATATTACTATTCCTATAACATTTTTACCTGTCGCGTTTTTTAATATAACAATATTTTTAGTGCAATTTTTTTTAATAACTTTTTTTGCCAACTTACAAAATTGCCTGATAACCAACTTGGGATAATTTCTTTTATTTAAAAATCCTACGGTTTCTGTTAGTTGGGTTATATTCCAATTCAAACTGCTCAGTTTGCCTCGATAAATGCCGTTTTTTCCGCATTTTCAAACAAGTTGGGACTGCCCTCTTTCGAATGGGGTCGGTTTAGGACGCCGCGCCCTAACCCCTCCTGCCAACACCCGCAAGCGGTGGGTCAAAAACTAACCATTTCCCACCGTAAATAATAATAGGCCGGTGAATAAAATTTTAGTTGTCTTCGTATTCTCCAATTAAGAACTATCCAGTAAGTTGCCAGTAACCAAATGTCCGGCAGTAAGCAAAACTCTCAGGGAGGGCAACATGCAAGAAAGTACGAAAACACAAAACTAGGAAGTTGCAAGTTTTATGAACAGATGATTAACTTGTTATTTTCCAAAGCAAATTTCTAATGAACATGTCTTAAATAGGTTTATTTTGTCAATTTAAATTATGTATGTATGTATGTATAAAAGACCCAAAAACGGAGTTGTTCGGGTTGCAATCACAACTGCAGTGTTGCGCGAATTAAATTTCCAGCAACGTATTATCAATTGGGCAGTTGCAACAGTGTTGCAAATTTTCATCAGTGCGGGAGTAATGCCCCTTTTATTACGAGCCTCGAACAGGCCCAACATCTATTTTATGAGTGTGAATTCACCCAGCATGCCACCAGCTTGGCAAATAGTTTCTTCATCAGTTAACAAGCCGATTTGTCCTGGCGGAACGCGAAACCTACTTGATTACAAAACCCTTAATTATTAAATCACGAAACTATGAGAATCTGCCATGTAAACAGGGAAATTCGTATTGGTAGAATAAAAACTATTTTTATTGTCTAATTTATAACGAATCATAATGTTATGGGTATATATTTAGTCAGTGCTACCACCGACCACGTCCGCCACCTCGACCACCACCTCCTCTTTTAAATCCTCCACCTCCTCCACCACCTCCTCTGTTAAAACCACCACGACCACCGCCTCCATTTCCACCTCCGCCGCCTCTTCCAAAACCTCCACCCCTGCTTCCACCTCGACCACCGCCACGACTACTACCTGCTCCACCATCTTGACCCTTTTTCTTAGGGCCCTTCCGTTGGGGTGGCTTTGGCAAAAATCTTGCGATCGGTAGTAGTTTTGCTGGATCAATGAATAATTTTTGTTGCTGTTTAAAACTCTTTGCATTCATATTCTCCGACAACTTCACTGTCACAGAATAATCCCGTATCGTCCCGAAGATTTCATCAATCTTGCCAATTTGTTCTTTATTTTCCAAATATATTGGTGCGTTGAAATAAGGTACGTCTTCAATTTCTACCTTGCAAACAAGATCGTCTTCGCATGCGTAACTGAAATGTCCTAGTGGTATAACCCGATCAGGAGGTCCTTGATCAAACCCACGGCCACCAAAGCGATTGCCGCCGCCACCACCACCTCGTCCAAAACCACCGCCACCGCCACCACCACGTCCAAAACCACCGCCGCCGCCCCCACGTCCACCGCCTCCACCACGTCCACCACCGCCACGACCACCACGAAAACCTGTAAATATGAATGTTCGGTACAAGTATATTTTTTTAATTGTTAACTCATACCTCCTCCACGACTCCCACCACGGTTGAAAGACATTATTTTTATTCAATCTATTAACAAAATTCGTTTATACAGAAACAAAAAACTGAATCTCGTGTGTTTATCAACCACGCGGTCTATATCGAAATAGAGCTGCAGACTATCGATAGTTTCGATGCTTTTTAGTTCTAGCCACTATCGATTGTTTTTTGGTTCTATCGATAGTCCATCACAGTCAGCCTGTTCCCGTACGTGTTAGTCAGTAGTTAATACTTGTTTTTAATAAAATATGAAGTTAAAATATAGCAGGAAAGAGTGATCACGGTGGCACAGACAAGAACACAACCTTTCCTTGAGACGTGAGAATAATAAGCACAACCAATTTGACGCCTAATAATCTGAAATTAGCCTGTGTAAACGGGGTGATTCACAAACGAGCTTTGACTTAATCCCAAATCATATGGCAATTTTTGTGCAACTGGGATTAGATGTGTATAGGAACAAATAGTCAGTACTAATTTTTACTGGAAAGGTGTATAATAACCCAGAAAATTTGCAAGAGAGCACTGAATCAACAGCGTAACAACAGAGAAAGAGTTGCAAATTCTTGCTAGTGAAATTTTTACTAGCAGAAGAAGAAGAATAAATATCTAAAGCCGCCATTTTTTGAATTGGTTTTGCACAAACAAAAGTAAAATGAGTGGAAATCAAAGTATTAATGATGCACTGAACTGTGTAAGCACTTGTGTGTAAAGCAAAGAGTTTAAAACTGATTTATAAATAGTAGAATGTTTACAGCAGAATGTCTAAACGGTGCAACAACTATTCACGTGCAAGTTTTTACTAGCTTTATGTTCAATAACTTGCTCTGCTAGTTTTCTCTTCTTCAGAATTTTACGCTCTATTTTGCTTTTACGCTCTCGCTGCAATTTTTAACTCGAGAAGTTACTATACAAACCTAATACCAAATGCGCTACCTGAAGTACAGGGTGATAGATACGGGTTCTAATCTAGTACTTCCGGTAGTGCATTTGATCCCAACCGATATTTGGTCCCATATAATATCCCAGGACCCTACAAAAGGGTTGCATTTTGTGTCAGATATCAGCTGTCAACGACCCTACAAATTTTTTTGCTTATTTACTCAACGATTTTTGCACTTTTCTTCGGTGTATTTGTATTGTAATTTTATGGAAATTATTTAGACCAAAAACTGCAAATGCTGTTCGTACGCTGCAATCATAATCGCTCGAAATAATACACAAAAATAAAATATTTTTAAGTGGAAATGTCAAGCTGGAATAGCATTTGTCGTGTATGTACCAGTCCTGCGGAATATGAAATTTTTGAGAAGATACCAGCGTATCTGCATGCCAGTTCCAATGAGTTTCTAAATTGGCAGAAAAACGTAAATGTATTGCTGGAAGAGACAACAGGGCTGAAGGTAAGAGTACTTCTGCATTGACAAAAAAAAAGGAAATAGATTTGCATTGCCCTAATAAAAAATATGTACATTTTCATTTGATGTAGTGCTCCGAAAATGATGGTTTGCCAAATAAGATCTGTGCACTTTGCATTTCCTACCTGAAACATGCAGTATTTTTTCGTGAACAATGCATTAACAACGCTTTGACTTTAAAAGCCATAGCCCAGATGCGACAACAAAGCCAAAAGAACAATTCCAACAAAAGAAATTTAGATAAAGAAAACGTTTTAATAACTGAGCAAGACTTGAATTTTACATATGAACGACACGTAGACACTAATCTGCTTAACAGTAATATATCCCAAGATCAAGATAAAGTTTGTAAACAATTGCTAAATAACAACTTTCAAGCAAATGCATCGGCGCAACAAAATATCGAACAGCAGTTACGATATCTAAATTTACTTTTCAACAAAGACTCGAATTCCGGTTTACAAGCTCGTAATCGCAGAAATGATGGCGCCGGTTTAGACTTTGATATAGCCAGTGGTGATCCTTATGCTGAAGAAGAGTTTCCATCAGCAACATCGAGTGATGAAAATGAGGCAAGTGAAATCACACCGAAGCACAGCATTTTTTCATACAAAGAAAAGAATTTCGAAGAAGATGATATTATGGACATTGACGAGTTGCGGGATGCTATTACAATAAATATACCTGAAAGTTGTAAAGAACGTAAATGTCGAGCATGTTCCAGGCGCTTTATGTTTGAGGATTCATTTAATGAACACATGAGCACATGCATAGAATACAAATTTCTCACTTATATTGAAGAAATCAATAAACTTTTATACATACGTCGTAATAAAGGCATTTCCCCTCATGAATTTGTGCGACGCATGATCTTCTGTATACGAAAGACTTGCGAGTGGCTGAAGAAAGCGAATTGTGGTGATATGTTGCTACCCGATTTAGTACAGAATGGTAGCAATGCGGAGGAGAACAATAAGACTCGTTTGGAGAGCGAAGGTAAAAGCTCTGCTGCTTCCTCTGGCGAACAGAAGCTTCGGACTACGCAGACAGCTTCCGCCGAAAAGTCTCGTAAGCGCTATGATTTGCCAAAGCATGATAAATTGACTGATTTACTAACCACAACGAACTCAAATGCATGCGAAAAAAATGCCACAAATAATGATGTTGTAACCGAAAGTAGTTTAGTTGAAAAACGAAAGACAGAACGTAACAGTACTGGCACACCTATAACAATAAGTAACAATATTTTATATGAAATAGAACGCTCTCAAAGTCGTAGCTCAAATCTTTTACCACTTTTGGATCTTGAAATGGATTTGGAAGTTAAAAAACCCATCGCTATTTTGGCTGCTAGAAACAGCACGACCAATGTCACAACATATGCTGCCCCCAACAACTATGCTGCCAGTGGTGGCAATGTTGGCAAGGGACTTAAAGATTCAACCGAACGTTTGACATTCCTCCAAAAACTACAGCAAGCTGCCAACCAACAATCACCAACATTTGTGAATGCCGCCGCAACACCAGCTACGCCGCAAATAAGTGTGCGCAAAGATTTGATGACCGCAACGCCAAGCAACAGGCAATATACAACATCACCAATCGCAGTTACACCAAAATCCATTCCCATCACACCGTTGCCTCGAAATGTTAGCTTCAGTGCACGTTGCAATCCGTGCAACCTACTCTTCGAGACACTTGCAGCACTCGAAGTACACAATGCAATGTATCACAATCATATGCCAGTGTATCAGGCGAAACCGCCAGCAGCAACGCTGCTAGACGAAGCGGAAAGAGAGGCTGAACGCAAACGTATTATTGCACTTTTTGAAGACGAAGATGACGAAGGAGAATTAGAGTGAATTTGGTATGATTGCATTAGCTTTTTATTTAGTTGACCGACTTCTTTATAAGCTGAAATTAGGAAGTAATATTGTTCAGTTCACTGAATTTTGTTTTCACTTTCATCAACAAATATCGCTTGCGATACGCTTTATTTCATAATCATTTGCATATTATTAAGACAAACAACTTAATATAACTTCACTCAAATATATATTTTTGCCCATTTGTTAGGTGTTAAAATATTGAAATTTCCTTAATTTGTATTAATTATTTTGTGATATAGCGTCTGACAAAAGTTCATCTTTAAATTGTAAACAAAAAATCATTTTAATTATTGTATAGCATAGAACCAAACTCTCCCCATTTTATTTATGAGGATTTTATTTACTGCCGACCACTACATACAAATGTACATACATGAATATCAACGTATTACATCCAAATTATTGTAATTATCGCCATAACTTAAACAATAAACTTACCTTAAAAGCCTCTTTGAGGTGACCAAAAAATTATGTTTTACTTTAAGAGAAAAAAAATTAGGTGGTGACTGAGACTTTCATTGAGATTATTATTTTTCTCCTTTTCTCAGAGGAAAGAATAAAAACCGATCGAAATTAAAATGTTTGCATCCGAGATTTTTACAGAAGACTTTTAAAATTCGTTAGCTAATCGAACTTATGATACGCTAGAACGCTATAGCACACCGGATATACAAATTTATTAAAAATAATAAAATGTTGGCAACTCTTCCAAAGTTGCACTTAGCTGTCAAATGCAATGCATTTTTCTTTGTTTATCACAGATTTTTGCAAAAACTAGGCGTAATTCTGTACATAATGCACCAGGCTTATAATATTCACACAATTTTAAAACAAGGAGTACAAATAGAATCCATTGCCGCCTATGGTGAGTATCGACTCAAATAGAAAACTGTCCACAAACCAGGACATAGATTTTATAGTCCTTTCCATTGATTGTTTGCAGATAACAATGTCATCCTGGGCACCCGCAGTGGTCAGCTTATCATGTACTCAGTGGACAGCAATGGAACTGTAGACATGTTAATGTTTAATAAAAACTTTAGCAAAAAATCTATTGTACAGATGGAGGTCATACCGGCTGAGAATTTGCTATTTGTGCTGACTGACAATACGGTGCATGTTTGCGATATCTCTGGCGTGGGTAATAATTTTACATTGATACACAGTGCTATGGTCACAAAAGGTTGCACTTTATTTGCTTTGGATGTAAAGGTTTGTGAAATTAAATTTAATGGTATGAATGACTCATAATCATGACGCTCTCGTACTCTGTCGTAGCGAAACTTCTTTACCTATTTCAAAATCCATAATTGCATACATTTTCTTTTAGCCTACCAAATTACCGACTGGCGAGATGACTACCGTTATTGGTGTATGCTGTGCAATTAAACGCCAGTTACAGTTCTTTTACTGGAAACAAGATAAACTAAATACTTTTGATTTCAATATCGAATTGAAGGATGTGCCAAAGGCGATTTGTTGGGTAGATGATGCGGTTTGTATTGGATTCAAGGATGAGTACGTCATTTACAATGTAAGAAATCAATAAATTTAGCAAGAAGCAGAAATGATTTGGCAAATTTTTTATCCAGATGTTGGCGAGTAAGCCTGAGAAGCACGATTTGATTGTTACTTCATCGTCACATAGCATGGATCCTTGCATTTGTCTTATCAAACATAATATGCTGGGCGTGTCCAAGGACGAATATCTAGTTGCCATTGATCCAAGTGTTTATGTGAAGAAAAATGACGAAAAACTCAAGACATACGGCACAATTGAGGCAGCAGTTGGAAATGTTGAAATCAAAAATAAGCCAAAACCAATGATGTGGAGCAGCGCATTGCTCGATATAGGTACATACTAAAAGAAAGCAGCATCTAGTATAACTTAACTCACTAACTCATTTTTAGTTTGGGACGAGCCCTATGTAATCGGTCGCGTTGCAAATGCCATAGAAGTGCGGTGCATTGAAGGCAGCAGCTTAAATAAGGACACACTTGTGCAAACCATACCTGAGCTCAGTAAAACTAAGTTGTTAGTGCGTTCAGGAAAAGGCACACTATTCGCTGCAGCAAATTCAGAATTGTGGTGTATTCGTATGGTAGACATACCCACGCAGCGGCAGATTTTACTGCAGCAGAAGAAATTTCAACTGGCCATAGGGTTGACGGTACTAATTGAGCATATCTCTTAAAATATCTCGACAGACTTATTTATAGTTTTAATTTAATTTAGAATATTTCCGAGGAGCCGGAGGACATCAAAGCAGCTACAATTCGCGAAATACATGTGCGTTATGCGCGTGAATTGTTTGCTAATAAGCAATTTGCCGATTCTATGAAAGAGTTCGAAAAAGCGGCTGCCGACCCTTACGATGTTATACGGCTTTTTCCAAACTTGCTGCAGGATCAGGCAAGCAAATCTAATGAAGCATCTGTGCCCGCCCCACTAATGCCTCAGTTGGAGGAAAAAGATATGGAAAATGCGCTCCTTGCGTTGATAGAGTTTTTGGCATTGGCACGTCAAAAAGAGGTAGTAAAACTTCGTGATACAAAAAGTACCTCAAAATCGCTGCTTTCAATTATCGATACAACGCTATTAAAATGTTATCTACAGGTTTGGTTTTCATGTTGTAAATTTTTTACGTAGAAAATTCTGCATTGCTCTTTATCTCCTGTTGCAGACTAATGACTCCTTGGTTGCGCCACTACTGCGTTTAAATCAATGCCATTTAGAGGAATCGGAAAAGACATTGAAGAAACATGATAAAATTTCCGAGTTGATCATACTATATCAAATGAATGGCAAACATAAGAAAGCTTTAGAACTGCTGAAGGCGCAGGCTTCAGTCGAAGGTTCGAGCCTTTATGGACATGATCGTACTATAAAATATTTACAACAATTAGGCAGTCCGCAATTGCCGCTAATTTTCGAATTCTGCGATTGGGTTTTAAAAGAAGCGCCTGATGATGGCTTACGTATTTTTACAGATAATTTTATAGAGGTAGAAAACTTGCCTCGAGCCAATGTACTCGATTTCCTGCTTAGTCGTCACAAAGCCTTGGTCATTCCATATTTGGAACATGTAATTAATGTCTGGAAGGACAATAATACCCTCCTACACAACGTATTAGCTAAACAATATCGCGAAAAGGTGCATAGCCTACTCGAAGAGGTTAAACAAGAGGAACCCACGAAGCAAAGGTTTGTTTCATTTCTCTGCATTTAAAAAATATTGGAAAGTGTGATATTTTTTTTTATATTATCTATTTTGATAGTGAATCGCAAGAGAATTTGCGTAAATACCGAGAAAACCTGTGTGAATTCCTTAAGAACTCACAGAACTATTCACCAGAGGTAGTGCTAAGAGATTTTCCCACAAATGACCTGCTTGAAGAGCGTGCCTTGATTCTCGGTCGTCTAAAGAAGCACGAAGAGGTTCTGTCAATCTACGTGCAAGTGTTAGGTGATGTGGAAAAAGCAGCTGAGTATTGTGAAGCAAATTATGAAGATGATAAAAATATTTTTGCAACTCTATTGATGACGCTATTGAATCCATCTCGCCAGCCGCCATATGAGGACGTTGCGCTACATCCCGACTTTTTACGACCGAATGAAGAAATCATACTAGGGCTCCTAAACAAATATGCGGAAAAAATTGATCCCTATGTCGTGATACCGGTATTTGATGCATTTGAGTACTCAAAAAAACTTGCGATTTTATTTTTTATTTATTTTGTAGTTGCTGCCCGATGACATGCCGGTGCATTCTATATGGAACTACCTGGAAATAGTTTTGCGTACCGAAATCGCGGAGCGACATGAAAACGAAACAATGGCCAGGCTGCTTAAGGCCGAAATTCGGCGTGTCCGAGAAGAGATTCGTGCTGAGGAAAATAAATCGGTTGTTCTCACTGAGTTCACGGTATGTCCACAATGTAAGAAGCGTTTCACAAATCCACCAGCTTTCGTGCGTTATCCCAACGGAGAAGTGGTACATTTATCTTGTCATGACAAACTTGTACAATCGAGCTCGGGAAATAGTAGTTAAATTAAGGTATATAATTACTAGTAAACGTATATATTTTCCACAAACTTGTTCTTAAATATTAGCTTTTAGTGTTAATGCAATCTATGGATTGATAGCCTCCAATTTGTGGTAGCGCCATCTATTTCTTAAATTAAAAGATTGACTGCGCTCACTTTCAATAGATCTATATTTTGTATTGACACACCTGTAATTAGGAGACTCGTGTTAGAAACAATTTTATCCCCGTGATGCTTAATCTCTGTTAAAGGACTGCAGCCATGATATTTTGCTGGAAAAACCCCATTTATTCTTTCTTGGATTAACTGAAACCAAGAATTTTAATTAAATGTTCGCTGCTTTAGCGACAAATTTATTTAAAAAGATATTTAAACTTCTATTTTAAATTCACACGCCCCTAACAATCAAGTAGTAGTTTTTCGTAGCCATCAAATTTAGGAATTCGAAGATTTTCTAATTTGCAAGGCAATTGCTGTCCAACCTCTTCTTGTTGTGGCACCAAGTGTCTCAATAGATATATCGTTTCTACAGTCAGCTCCTTTTCCCCAAATTCAAAAATTTTATTTAAAATATTTTCTAAGCTCGTATTCCAGACAACTCTAATTTGTTGCATCAACACACCGAGCGCATGTGGCTGACATGCTAATATATTCGCTAAAAAGCGAATACCATAAAGAATTCTTAGACGATTGCTGATGTTTAAAAAATCTTCTGTGTTACACAAATTACTCAAAATGAATTCGATTAAATAGTTGGTGTGTTCCATACTTAATTCCATTCCATTCCATTCGGTATGAAATAATATCTGCAAATGATATTCGCCTGCACCGCTGCTACGTTTTTTTTTACACATGTGTTCGTTTATGAAGAGCAGATCTTCAGCTCTCAATACGCGCTGATTGTACACAACAAGCAACTGCAAACAAATAGCTGCGTCTTCTCTGAAATCAGCTGTAGGATCCTTATCGCCGCTGTCATCCACATATAGACGCCATAACTTGGGCACTATTTCCATCTGCACCAAGGTTTCCGAGGCTTTCTGGCTTGTGGAGATTATGTTAGCAATTGTCCAAAGTGATGTACGCTTTAAACGTTCATCAATGCTATCGAGATAAGTAACTAGATAACTACCAGCCATATTTCCGATTTTGTCACAAACTGGCGCTTCGCCAAGTGATAGATTGCAAAGACATTCCACTGCGCCAATTTGACGTTCGGAGTCGATACCTATATAGAGAGAGTTCAAACCAATTGGAAATTAAAGCATAAATATATGAATCCTACCAGTCAGCTCTTTAACAATGACGTGCAGTGCTCCGGGCGCCTTGGCGAACAGCTTGATATGGTCCATACTTTGTAGGAATGCATGATTCAAGCGATACATATCCTCTACCGATGCATGTTTGCGCCGTTTTATTCGCGTTATCAAACCGTTTACATCCTTTTCCGTAAGATTGTCTAGCTCCTCCACTTTTTTGGTTATCTCGCCCAAACCAAATCGCAAGGCATCGTTGGACTTGGCACGTTGCAGCTCCCGGTGCCGTTGTGAAAATATCCTAACTTTTTCACGCAAAAGTTCGGTAGGTACGGTGACTGCCTGTGACGATTGTGGCTCTTCACAATCTGTATCCATAATTTAAAAAAATATTTAAGTAAATTAATTTAAGAATATATATATGAATTTTAATAGAAATTAGATTTGCTATGCCGTTACTTTCGAGTGCATTTTCAGCCGCTGAAAAAATTCGGATAAAAAATAAAAATGCTGGCAGTCCTGCCGGGGAGCAGCTGATAGGGTTCGAAACTCAAGACTTGCTATGTGGTATCGATACCAAGTTTTACTTTCGGTATCGGGCGGAAAGTGTGATACTACTCAGTACTAAAAGAGTAAGCTTACAGAACAGAATTCAAATTTTCTGCTCGAAAGCGTATGCAATTGGATTTGGTATTTCTCCACATCGGAGATCAGCTTTAACTGTACGTATTTCGGTTGAGTTCTACGAAATATTAACCGTCATCAATTCGCCACTTCTCCGCTCGCTATATGTGAGTTCCGGTCGCTTAACGAAAAATTTTGCATGCGAAAGCAACAACAAAGTTAGCTAGCAAGGATGGACATAGCGAGTTTTGGTTGTACCTCGTTGAGTTCGTTCGCGAACTGTTGGCGAATCGACGACGGCTATTGAAATGGAAGCACAAACAAAAGCCAAGGGCCAGTTTTTCAGTGCACGGTAGTGCATAAACAAGGTTAATCGCATGCAATTGTTGTTGGAAAAGTGAACCAGTTAAATCATTTAACTCGTTTGAAAACCAGTTCAGCGCAGAGTTGCATCAGAAAGCTTTCTGCTCCGACCAATCAGCTGACCCTAGACCCAAAAGCTTTCATTTGACACGCCAACGTTCAAAAATTAACATTCTGAGAAATATTAAAAATTAAAAATGATCAAAAAGTTTCAAAATTGTATACATGTCTGCCCGCCAAAAAAGAGGCCAAGGCGGTAATAAGTTATTTTCCATGAGGTCTCATCGTACGCAGGGATAAATAGTGTACACAAACTAAACATTTTGAAGTCTCTAAGTAATCCGTATGCGTTAATATCATGAAGCAGACATTCGCACAAAACAAATTGAAGCACAAAAACTTGATTTTAAATTTTTTTTTGGTAATCAAACAACCCGTCAAAGTTAACTCCAAATGTTCAATGCGGACGATTGTGTTTTCCAAAAAGCTCTGTTTCATTTAACAAGTTAAATGGGGCCAATTTAAACGTAATATTAATCTAAGTTTAAACTGGCACTGAAAAACTGGCCCTAACAGTGCTAAGTGAGGTTTGTTTGTACTCAACGCACGAATTTTGCTTGAAAGCTGCATGAAGCTTCCTCCATTTGAAATCCTCATATTTGATGTGTTTATCGATGATTTTAATGATCTGAAACAAATTTTTCATCTTACGTTGTTTTTGTTTACTCTTTCTGTATGTATTTAAATCACACGCATTGCCCACTCGCAATTAATAAAACGCGAGATCTTCAACAGTCAAACCAATTCAGTCAGTTAAATATAGTATCTTAGTAGTAAATTGAACGCTATCGATACTTGCTTCTATATTTTTGGACGATGCTGCAAAAAAACCAACAATCGATAATATCTGAAAAGTATTCGATACCACGAGTACTTTGGAATGTATAAAGTGAGTTATCGGGTACTAGGGGAGGTTCGAACCCTAACAGCTGATAGTGACAAAGTTTTTTTTTAGGCTTTAAGGAGTTCTGGATAATACCACAGATTGGTTAATTAATATTAGTAACAATGTCCTTTACAATAATGCAAAAGTTATCACTGCAAAGTCTCAAAGGGGATCAGACTTTATTGAGTGAGAAATAAATGGAATACTGCCGTTTATAGGCAAATTTATGGAACTCTTTTTTTTTCTATTTTGCAGCGACCATACGTAACGCCAGTAAAAAGACTGGAGGCAGCACGCGCAACAAGAAGGGACATCCACGGCCAAAACATCGCGGCTGGCGTGTTCAGGATGGACATTGGGTCTCACAGGGTACATTGCTTGCGACACAACTAACAACTCGTTTTCATCCTGGCATGAATGTATGTAAAATTCGAAAAATATATTTGTTAAGCTGATTAAGTAAATGAAATGTTTATCCAGGTTGGTTTTGGGCGAAATGGTACGCTGTATGCCATGGAACATGGGCGAGTATATGTGACATGCGAGCGATTGGATCCAAATTGGGATCACACCTGGGTACAGCGAAACTACGCTGGGCGCGAGGGCCAAACGATTTATAAGAAATTTTTCAATGTTATTACAGAACCACAGCATCAGCGTTTTCGCTTAATAGAGGAGGTTTAAATGTTTCGGGCTTTTTTGTTGTTGAATACTGATGTACGAAAATAAATAATGGGAAATATTTAGTTATTTGTGCAACGTTTTTGTGGTAGGGGGGGGGGGGGGGGGGGGGGGGGGGGGGGGGCGTGGCCTGCCAAACCTGCTCTAAAGGAAGAGTATAGAACGCGCTTTATGAAAAGTGTCCCCTCACCACCCACAGACCCCTTGGGAGCTGTTTGAAAATAGGGGAGTTGAATTTTTTGCAAAAGGATTATAACCCTCACTTTCTGTGTAGGCGGCCTTCGGCCCGGCTTAGCGATTATAACCATAGCTAAGCAGAATTCTGTTGTTGTTGTAGCAGCATACAAATTCCCCAAAAACTTTTTGGGGAGTGTTGCTGGAGTGACAGTCCTTGGCCAGATATAAATCTGGGTCGTTCCGTTCCGAAGAAGAGGGGCTGAACACCTTTTGCAAAGATATTTCGTGGATATTTTTGTTTGACAGCTCTGCTCGGAAATTTGCCAAAAAATACGATATTTCAAACCGAGATTATTAATAAGTTAGTCCACAGATATAGTAAATTATTATTTTTTAAATAAAGCGTTCGGATCACGCGTTTAGGCCTAACAATTCAAAATCGTTGTACAAATAACTAAACCGTACCCTAAATAATTACTTACAATTCTTGTGCCGCAGTATACTGTAATACAAAAGTTCCATTTTTTTAGAGCTCCTAAGTACATTCCTTGTGTATTAAGCAACGTATATCGTACGATATTGTACCGTACCGGGACTGATTGGGTCACCTATCTTTATAAGTGCTATGAAATGCAACCATGTAAGTGGATGTATCGAATAGCGCACTTTCTTGACATGTTCCAGATGACAGCAAACATTTGCAGCCAACTTCGTTTACTTCTTTCTTTCGAAAAGTTTCAAGATGGTGAGTGGACGTCAGAGTGTGCTTAGCAGTCACAATTTGCTTCATTTTTGCATAAATTAAGATGCAATTTTGAACGTAGGAGACTTTATATTAAAATACAATAAAGTAAATATCCAAAGCGCAAAGCGTTGTTGTAGTGTGAATAGCAAAAGTTACACTTTTGTGTTGTTACACGACCTAACCTCAAAAAAATAATTGTGACTGCCACTGTAAACTTGTTGGTGTACCAACATCCAAACACGTGTGTAATTCGAAAATAAATATTTTTTTTCTTTAATTTACAGTCGAACATCAAAAGAAAGAAGACCAGAAAGCTGCGTGGTCATGTGAGCCACGGACATGGTCGTATTGGCAAGCACCGCAAGCATCCTGGTGGTCGCGGTAACGCTGGTGGTATGCACCATCACCGCATCAACTTCGACAAATACCATCCCGGTTACTTCGGTAAAGTTGGTATGAGAAACTTCCACTTGCGTCGCCAGCACAAATTCTGCCCAACAATCAATTTGGACAAATTGTGGTCGCTGGTTGGAGCTGATAAATTAGCTGAACTGCAAAAAGAGAAGAGCAACAAGGCACCCGTCATCGATTTGGTGCAATTCGTAAGTATCTCTTCCTTAAAAATTTTATGTAGAATTTCTGCCAAACATGAAGATACATTCCAAGGCGTCGGGCGGACTGAATGCGACCGTACAATTGCTCTCCCCATGTAGCGAAAGCCTTTCAGATTAAGCAGAAATTTTAACCTAAAATGATTTATATGTACATTATAAGGAATTTTGGGATGATTGTACTAAACATATTTTATATCTTGTAGGGTTACTACAAATTGTTGGGTCGTGGACATTTGCCTAAGCAGCCCGTTATTGTTAAGGCCAAATACTTTTCGAAAAAGGCTGAAGACAAAATCAAGAGCGCTGGTGGTGTCTGCTTGTTGAGAGCTTAATTTTAATTTTAAGGTAAATATTTATTTCATGTGTTGGAAGCTTCTCAAATACAGTGACGAGTTAGCTTATGCGTCAGACTTTTGCTGAATGACTTTCGTGCTACCATAACTGAACTGAGTATTTGAGGAACAAAAACCAATTTTTTGGGTTAAACACCTAGCATTGATACTTGGAATGAATTTTATAATATACAAGTTTTTGTTTTTAGGTCCTGTTTCCAATAAAACGTACATGAAACATCAAACGTATGGATTTTACAATAAAAATAGAATTACAAAAATTTAAAAAAAAAAAATTACGTGATAGTTTATTCAATAAGAATTGCAAAGTTGTATGCGAATTATGGGCGGGCGGGGGTCGGATTTCAAACAATTGCCAGCTTGTACTAATACAGCCTTCTAAATAGTAGTAAGAAAAAATTTGGTTTTTACCGTACTACTGGATGCAGCTTACTACAACGGATTACTAGTAAAAGGTTGGGCACTATATATTTCAGGGCATAGCATTGTCTTCATCATAAAAGTTAAAAATATAGCTGAATCTGGGTCTAGCCACAATGTAAAGCGTAAAGATGGGTCAGATCTATGGAAAATGATAAGCGGTTCACATGTTTCTTTGTGGTAAGTGCCTTTGTTTTTAACAAATGAAGGGGCTTGTAGTTTTACGTTGGTCCCAGACGAGATAATTCAAGATTCTTCAAAGTAAAAATACACTGAGGAATCGAACCGGGCTCCACCCAAGGTAAAGCTCGCATCGACACTATCGGAGCCAGGGCTGCCAATTGTACATAGCTATGAAGTGCCATATTGAGGATTAAAAAAGTGACAGATAGAAACATAAAGGTGCCATTCTTTCTAATTCTTCCCATTAACACATTCCTAAAGCGAAAGTCCAATGCCATAGTAAGATAAATCGGTTGCATAAACTATAGAAATTAGAAAATTTTAGTTGAGAAAAAGAAGTACATGCGAAAGGATTTTACAAAAATGTATTGAAATATTATTTTTCAAAAGTGCCATTCTAAAATTAAGTGCCATTTGAAGTAAAATAGGGCCAAAAATGGCACGGTTTGAGCGAAGTTGGCAGCCCTGATCCGAGCGACCGCCACCCCAAAAAGGCCCTACACACACATTGATTTATCGGCCAACCAGTTGGCCAGCCGCTAGAAGTTGGTGGTAAATAAGCCGTGTGTAGGCAAGTTGGAAAACCTTCGTTAAGTTATTCGTCAGGTTGGAGAAAAATCAAAAACTTTTGATTTTGAGGCAGATTGGTCAACTTTTTGCTCTGTGTGTAGACAAGTTGGCAACCTAAATCCGATTTATTTTTTCAAAGGCGCATTAACGTTAACATGTGTTGTTCGTTAAGTAGGTTGGTCAACTGGTTGGCCGATATATCAATGCGTGTGTAGGCTCTTAAAGGGGGCCCTTCATATTCTAAACACAAAAAAGATGACAAATGCAACCCTACGTGCATAGCACAGGGCGATACATGTGCCTAAATAATTGTAATAATTCAACACTTCTTTTTTTAACTTTTCTTTTTATTTTTTAATACAAATGCATGGTATAATTTCTTGATGTTTATTTATTTTTATTATTTAAAACTTTTTTCCCTGTTTTTGTCCAACAAATGATTTTTCATTTGATAATTAGAGTTCTTTGTAGGCTACATTCTCGCATTTTACTGCATCTCCATTTTCTTATTTTTGGACTGGCAATACTTATTTTTGGCAGCACAAAAAAGAACCCAGAAAGTTTTCAGAGATTTTCACTTTCTGGTGTATTCAATATTCAATTTCCATCAGCGATTTGCGCTTTTTAGCTACTCAAGGGCAAAAATCAAATCAAAAGCATAAAAGTGATATCAAAAAGAAGTGCAGGGAGGATGAAAACCGATTTCTTCGCTTTGTAGGCGCATCAAATAGCTTGAAGGAAGTGTGTGGAAAATCTTCGACGATCCCGTCTGTATGTAAGTGTGGGACATCAGTCGCAAAGAACAGCGAACGCGCAAAGCGGAGCACTAGTCAAAAGAGGTAGTAAATTTGTCCGCTGCGTTTGTGGGGGGCAAACGGTGGATGAGTGTACAGCGACAGCAACAGCAGTTGTCGCCATAAAAGAAGCATAAACGCGGAGCAGTGACAAAACTGCGTCCGAAAATGCGAAAGTGAAGAAAAAGTGAAATTCCGAAATTGGAATTGGTAGCGACGACAGACAACGACAAACGAAAAAAGATCGTGGAAGGATGATAGCGTGAACGGGGGAGAAACAGTGATATAGAGTAGGAGTCAAAGAGATAATTGCTGAAAATGCAAAAAATCATTGTGAAACGAAAGACGATTGGAAAACCATTGTTGAAGTTGAAAATCGTCTACGCTAATTAACACTTTGCTTTTTATTTAAACGCAAAAAAGACTTTGCCGCGCGTCAATCGCAAGCTACTGTTGTAGGTAAACGGGGGAAAACAAATACTTAGGTGCTCTCGCATACTGTTGCGCGCTTATTGACCACATATGCCCTTGCCTCGCCTACGTCACTACATTGTGAACGATTCAACGCTTCTAATTGTGCTTTTGTGCTATAACGCATTATTTTTTGTTGTAAGGTCATTTTTGCATTGCTTGAACCGCTGCCATTGTTTCATGAAATTATGTTGAAATCGTCCTCTACTGCGCAGGAACTGCGGCTGTGCCGACCAACGAGCACAGCACAGTCATCCTCGGGCACATCTGCAGGCAGTGCCATGGATACATTAAAATCATCTTTCCTACCCAACCTGGCCATGGATGGTGGAGTTATTACATCGGCTAGCTTTTGTCCGATGTGTGGTCAGCAATTTGAGCGGCCACAACACGCTCAGGAGCATATGCAGTTGTGCCACGGCATATCAGCTGGCATGATTGGTGGCGGTGGTGGCATCGGTGGTGCCGGTGGGCTCTTGCTAGGCGGTGTTCCACAACCGAACGTACCAGTTTCGGATCCTATGAAAATTGAGTATCCCTGCTTGAGTTGTGAGGAGAAGTTTGGTTCGGCGCAGGAGCTAGATGAACACCACCGTATCGTACATCAAACCACGGCTTTTCTAGCGCGCTGCATGGCATGTGGCATTTATGGTATTTCATCAGTGACCTTGCACGAAGGCGATGAATTCAAGTGCATGCACTGTGGCTCTGTATGCACTGCCTCCAATATGACTGCAGCTCAGCAGCCGCCGTACATGGATCAGCCTGAACCACCCCAAACACCAGAAGAGATGCCTTCCATGCCGCCTGAAGAAATGAATACTATACCACCAGAAGAATTGAACTCAAGACAGAATCAGCAACAGCAACAGCAGCGCCAGCAGCAGCAACAACATCAGCAACAACAGCAGCAGCAACAACAACAACAACGGCAACAACAACAGCAGCCAGATTTACTCGATCGTCAAAGGCAGCCGCAACCAGATTTGCTTGATCAGCAACGACAGCAGGCCGGACAGGCGCAATCGCATGCACAAACGCAACAACAAGCGGCACAGGCACAGCAAAATCAGCAGCAGCAAACTCAATTAAAAGTACCACCTCTAACTGTAAAATTGAACAAAGGCAGCAATGGCAGCACAGAGGGCCATCCACATGTGATAATCAAGGAAGAACCGCTTGGCATTAGCGATGGCAACGGTGATATAGATCCGGCCGCAGTGCCCGTGTACACCATTCAGCAGCCAGTTGGTGCTACGAGCGTAGTAGTAAGCACCGCATCAGCTACAGCCGGAGCCCTGGCAAATGCGACTGGCACAGCAGCCGCCAGCAGCGGAGCTTCCACGACATTGGGAAACAAAGTGCGCCACAAATGCCCGGAATGTCCGAAAACCTTTAAGACGCCCGGCACATTGGCAATGCACCGTAAAATACATACAGGCGAAGCAGAGTAATCATTGCACTTTAATATTATATCTTATATTTTTAGATAATTTAAAATTTGGTTATTTATGTAGAATGCTTTGTACGAAATTTCGCTAATCCGTCTATCCGATAAGTCTATTAAAATTTAGAAACACATGTATGTAAATACGAATCTATCGGAACCAAAAATCAGATAGCAAGTCTAATGGATTTTTATTTTTCAATGCCCGGAAATTTCGTACTTAGCTTCTCAATGTGTGTCTATACGAGTATAAATGTTTTAACTTATAATCTAAGTGTTTGTTTCTCGAATGAATTGTCACGAATAATTAACTAATTTCTATTCTGTTTTCTATCTGTTAAACAACTTCGTTTACGCCTACGCAGCGTCACGCCTAAAGAACGCCCGTACTCGTGCTCCTACTGCGGCAAGTCATTCACCCAATCGAACACCCTCAAACAGCACACGCGCATTCATACAGGTGAGAAACCCTTTAGATGTGGATATTGTGGCAGGCAATTCACTGTAAAGGACTACCTGAACAAACATTTAACAACTCACACGGGTGAGAGAATATAGTATATTTTGAAAAAATCAATCAATCAGTCAGTAAATCAACCAATCAATCAGTCAATCAGCTCAATCAATCAATCAATTTCACTCAAAACAAAATCAAACCACAAAACCGATTAAAAATCAAATCACAAAATTAAGCAAAAACAAATCAAACTATTCTCAGCTCAGCTAAATGCAGTGTATTTGTTATTCTTTTTCTAAATACTATTACCAGAAATAGAAAATATATAGTACATACATACTTATGTGTGTCGTAATAATTACTTCAAAAGCAATCAATATGTATTTTGTATATCTGGAATGCATATTATTTTCATTTATCTTAGATAAAAAATGCTTACGCAATTTTTTTATGCCACGCACGCCCATGACAAATAATTAAATTCCATCTCATCGTTTGCTCATATGCATTGCTAAAGAAAAAACTAAAAATAAAAGCAAAATAGTACGTTATGATGAGCAATTATTGCGTACAGCAGAAGCATTTTCTCCATACTTACATATGCACATACGTATGTATATAAATGAAAAATTAAAACTGATTATTTAGGCTTTAATTAGGATTAGAGTAGAGAAACTTTTGGAAGAAATTGAATACTATGACTTGAAGAAAAATTTGAAATCGGCAAATTCAGAGTTATTTCGGGTTAAAGGCATTTTGCAATCAAAAATTTTATCAATAAATGTTCCCATTTCTACTTTATTTATTGGCTAAAAAATTGATGTTACCAGCGCTGAATAGATCTGTGAAGCTTTAGGTTAGGTTTTCTACTTGGCTACATAGAAAAATTAAGTAAAATGTAAGAAATAAGTGTGATGTTTTTTCGAAGTGCGTTCTTTTAAAGTACCATTAGCTAACAACCTAAAATTCGGATCGAACACATATCTTAAAAAAAGTAGATTAGGCCTTTGGCATTAAAGGCGACGTTATCTAAATATTTCGATTTTGGGGTTTAAAGTCAAATTAGCACTAGATTTCAGGATTTTATCTAAAACCTGAGACTGAATTGTTCACATATTTCTGAAACATACATATTTCAAAATCATTAAAGTCAACCGCATTGATTTCTTATATTGAACTTAAATTCTTTTCTGAATCATACGCACAAAGAATGGAAAAGACTATCGATAAGGAAATAGATCTAATACTCTAAGGCAGGCTGCTTTAATCCCAACTAGTACGCATATATAACTATGGATATAGTAATTGGCTTTGAATGGGAGAGAAACGAAAATTTAAACTAAGATGCTTCAAAAAGATTTACTGAACTTGAAATTGATATCTCCTGTCTAGAATGGTAGTGGAAGAACTTCTACACATCCTCTCTTATATTGGCATTAGCTGCCAAGGATATGCGATTGTCTTAGTAATAATTGCCAGAAGAATGTTCGAGAATACGCTCCGTCAAATAATACAAAGAGGTCTAAACTAAACGAAGTCTGGTGGCCTAAAATGGGTCGTAATATCAAAACCTCTAAGGCGGCCATCGTAGCATTCTCTAAAAGAAGAACTCTCCCAAGTATGAAGAGTATAACTTTGAGTGAGGCCTTACTGTAGCGATGCGCATATGTCCTAGAGATGGCTTTGGCAAAGGTCTTATATTGTAGGAAAATATGTAGGATTGCGAATCTCACTTTCAGACCCGTTTTTAGTTTAAATCGAATAGGCGAAAAAACAAAATTATACTACGCTTAATTGCTCATCATAATAGCGATGCTGACGACGATCACATCTAGCAGCCGCAAACATATATAAGTGATAATTTTTTAAGCAGTCGCTTATTAAACAAAACTTTTTTTTCTGTCCGCCTATTGCAGCCACTAAGCCACCACCCATATGACAACAATATTGCATTTCCCTCCATCTCATCAAACCTATTGTACTGCATTTTTTTATTGAATAATTACAAAAACAATGTTGAAAATATTTGGCAAATTATCTGCAAGTGCCAACAGAGCCAAAGTCATGATTTGTTGAATAGCAGACAAAAAAAATGCATTAATATTTGTTGCTTAAGCTTTTGCGCTCGTTGCTGTGGTAGTTCAACAAATCATTCATTGGCCATGGCCAAGCAGCTGACTGCATATACAACTTATTATCACACACTATAACTAATGCATGAGTGTTTTTTTTTTTTCTTTTTCTTTCTCTTCGTATCTTCTACAAATGTTTTGTTTGTGTGTGTGTATGTGCTATGGTTCTACTGGAAATCTACAGGTGAGAAACCCTTTCACTGTGTCTACTGTGAGAAACGTTTCAGTGTCAAGGATTACCTCACCAAGCATATACGCACACATACTGGCGAAAAGCCCTATACCTGCCCCTACTGTGACAAGCGCTTTACACAGCGCAGCGCTTTAACGGTACATACGACCAAGTTACATCCACTCTAGGGAAGACCGATTGGCAAAGGGAGCCGTGGCCGTTTGTTAACATAGTTTTGGCTAAGTGATGCGGAAGAGAAGAAGCCAACGGCTGAAATGTTGGCCAAAACGTTGGCGCAGACAGCGATGACTGCAGAAACAACAACAACAACAGCAGTAGCTGCAGCAGCAACGGCAACAGCAACAGCAACAACTATGAACAACACCACAGCATTTGCAACAATCAACTTATCATTAAATCCACAGCAACAACAGACACAATACCAACTGCCGCAGCAACAGTATCAACTACAAAACCAACAACATCAACGGCAACAACAACCACAGCAATCACTAGAAGGTACAACAAACAAAGAGCTCGACTTTGTACTGGATACGATAGGCTTGTCGCAAGCTTTGTAGTAGGCCACGGCGGCTCTTGTTGGCTGCGAAATAGGCGCGTAAAATGAACAACAAATAAAAATGCGAAATATAAGACGATTTGCAAGATCTTAAAGAAATTAAAAAAAAAAAACAACAACAATAAAAACACGAAAGTAAATACAAAGTCACACTGCAAAAGGTTTTGTGCTAATCATTGAAATTTTCGGTGGCAATGCACAAGAAAAAAAAAAAACCTAAACAACAAATGATTAAAAAAAATTACAGCAACAATAAGAAAACACACACACACACACAAAACAAACGCTGTAACTAAGCGAAAGATAATGCTGGTTAATTATAATGACAAAAAAAAACGAATTATAATGGTGGGAGCGGGAATGGAAAGAGGAGCGAGAAATACCAAAATGCCACAAAGCAAAAAAGTGAGTTTATGTAAACAACAACAACCACAACAAATGAAAATAAACTAAAGTAAATAACTAAAATCCAGAATCTGTTAGAGCTGAAGTTTAGTGAAAATGTGGGATTACCCACCGTCTAATTGTACGAGTATGTAGTTTATTAAAGGCAAAATTCAAAAATATACACATGTACATACTATATGTATTTGAACATTTTAATATTGAACTAACCTAAATATGTATGTAAAATAAATGCTAATGACGATGTTCTTGTAATTTCAGGTTTTATTCATACTTACGTACATATATAAATTTTTTTTTGGTTTGTAATTTATTTCGTAAAAGCGAAAATTTTAAATATTTATAATTTTAATACATACATAAATACATATGGAATTTATGCTTGTTTCATAACCGAGCTGCGTCGATATGAACTAAAAATGAACACTTTTTTGAACTGTACATAGATTGCTTGCTTGTATTTTTGTTTGTGTGATTTTCTAAATCATTTTTTTATTCATAGTTTTTTAAAAAATATTGTACGCACATACTAAATACATACATATCTGTGTGTCATTTTGATAAAACAACTGAGTGACCTTATAAGGTTCGAGTTTGGTTTAAAAATAATTAGGAGAGCGCGGCATCTTAAACTACAACTGCGGCCAAATTCATCGTTAAAATATTGTTGGGGAGAGGAGTTGTTTTATCAAAATGCCACAGATATAAGATACCAAGCATTTAAAAGATAAGGAACTCATGTTGGCCTAAAATAAAATTGTGAATACTTTAAACTCAGTGTTGTTGAAAATTTCACATACATACATAACTGTTAAGATTTGTATGAGATATACAAGTACTACATACTTTCATAACAACATATGCAACAGGTGTGCTCCCATTTTCGGAATTTTAATTTTTCTTTAATGTAGCTTACGTGATCTTAAAATTCTAAATCGCAAAATATTAAGAGTTGGATTACTGTAAAGACGATGTAGGGATGAGCATTTCTTTGATCATCAGCATTTTAAACATCCGCTTTTGTTTAATTTTTTTTTTCACAGGAAGAATTATCCCATATCTCAAAATACGGAACGGTTCGGTTCGCATGTTTGTACATACGTATTTTCTAAATAAATTAATTAATACTTATAACTTTTTTCGTATCTGTGCTGCAGATTTAAAGATAATCAAATCCTTTTAAAAAGATTGATTTATTAAAAAGTTATTACAGATATTTTTTTTTCAGAAAAAAGATTTAGAAATATTTATTAAAGAAATCGGATTTTGGAAATTTTTATACTGCGCACCGTTTTTATTTCTATGCGTTAGAAAAAAATGTTGGTGCGAAAACGTAATTTTTTTTTTGTTTGATTAAATCGTAAATCACAAATATATATAGAAATGGGAGTTCGGCTGTGTCTACACTTATTTTCGATATTTGAACGTCGCAAAATATTTTAATACTTCGTTTTGTATATATTTATTGATTTTCAGAATTCAAAACAATTTTTTGAAAATAAAAAAATGCAATAAATAGTAAATTTGTAAACATATTTTTCTCTCTCTCTCAGTTACAATGCATTTTTGTTAAGTTTTAAAGTCATTATTTTTCTTAATATATATATTTTTTTTAGTAAATTTTTAGTATTTTGGACATGGTCTTTTGTGCTGTCAGAGCTTCGACTTTATAAATGACAAATTTTCAATATAGTTTTTCTATTAGTAAGCATTTAGCCTGGCTGTATACTTGTTTTTAGTACTTTGGTCAAAACAAAATATGCCGTTGTAGCTTCAACTTAGTAAGAAAAAAAAGTTTGAGGTATCTCAGGTAGAGAAACTTTTCTGTTTTATAAAACGTAAAAAATATCGGACGCACCTGAAAAATTTGAGGTTATATCAAAAAAAGTCGAAACTTTAAAAAAGTAGCTTGAGTTTAGATAGCGAATTCGGCTTTCAGAAACTTTTTTTTTTATATTTAAGGCGTTGAATATATTGGTTCCAAAAAAAAAAATTATTTTGTGTTAACAGAAAAAATATATATATGTATATAGAAAAAGCATGCATGCCTCAGTATATGTATACTTTCTATGTGAGCTTCTTTATATGTTTATTGTTATGTGTTTAAAATTCGTTGGCTTTTCAGAATTCGTCATTTCACTTTTTAAAAATGTCTAAAATGGCAGAGGTTATTCGTTATGCGTAAAAAAACACAGGTTATATTTAAGGTTATGTTCACGTGAAAATAAAATTTTCGGAAATTTAAAACATATGAAACGGCACAAGACTAAATAAATGTATGATGTTAAAAAAATTTTAGGTTATGTCAACAAAACAAATGCTTTTTTGGTAATTAAAACTTAAAAAGTATAAGTCGTTAGATATCGGTGATATTTCGAATGAAAAAAGTTGCAGTAAAGAAAAATAATTTAAAAAAAAAAAATATTTTTGTACAATTTTTAACGTAATTTCAAATCCATGAGAAAAGATATCGTGCAAAGTAGCTCTTCGGAACGTATGAAAAGGTGTTGGGTTTCTCAGAAAATTTTCGTCATCCCTTTACAAAAGTTTGTGTATAAAAAACGACACCGAAGATGACAAATGTTGTAAACATGAATGATGATGCTCAGATAAAAACATCCACCGACTCGGCTCCCAGGGGTAGACAACGAAAACAAGTGCGCCTATGAATACAATTGAAAGACCAATTAAAAGAGCGCGTAACTTCGCAAAGGAGAGTGGGCAAATTGGCATAGTTTTTTAGTCTCGGCTCACATAAAATAAGAAAAAGCAGGAGATAGCATTACGCCAAACCAAATTTGATGCCAAGTCGCTACGAAATAGACTACTTTCAACTTTCGATAAAAAAAAAAATTGAAATACCCTTAATGCAGCTGCACTTAAGTTTTCTGCAGCCATTAATATAACTTCGGTTTATATTCATACGCTCAAAACTATTTTCTATAAAGAATTTCAGATACAAATCGCGAAGTAAATTTTTCAAAATTAAAAAAAAAAATTTATTTAATGCATTCAGCGTAGCCATGTCCGCATTATATTCTCATTCGCTCTGTAGTATTTAATTAAAATGATTTTAGTTTTATACAATTCTTTTAGGATTTTTTTTTATATTTAAATTTTTTTGTTAAATTTTTTTTTTATTTTTACACTTCAATTTCATCTTTTTTTAATCTTAAATTCTTATTTATTTTTTCTTATGATTAATACGCACATGCACATACTTAGCGCACATGCAAGTAATCGTCATTTTGTTTTAGTGTAACAACAGAGCAGGATCTCGGTTGGCTTTAATTACTTATCGATTTCTTTTTTTTTTTTACCATACTCTGATTCATTTGCCTTTTTTTTTAGATGTTAGCGCGTATTATTTTGTTTCTTAACTAATAATTTGTAATTTTAAATTGTATTTAATAAATTATCAAATTAAAATATTGTGTTGAAAATCATATATGTATGTACATACATCTGTAAACCATTTTGATATTTGTTTTACTCTTCACTTATCTATCATTTGCTTTAATATTTAATATTGCGTAACGTGACTTTGTTAAAAAAAAAACTTGACATATTTATACTTTTGTTAAAAATATTTAAAAAATATTATTTGTGCTCACATATTTTTTGTCGCATTTTTAAGTTTGTAAGTAAGACAGAAAGCAATGAATACATTTTTATATTATCCAATTTTAACAGCTTTACATGAAAAAGCAAAAAAAAAAACATAAAAAAAAATATAAAAAACAACTAAAAAACATAGAATACAGCATACTAACAACGTGGCTTGCGTTTACTTTTACGCAATGTGCAATACACGTAAATAAAATATAAATATTAAAATAGTTGTAATTTAGTTTGTAATACAACATTTTAAATGCAACAAAACTAACAAGTCAAAAAAACAGCAAGAAAATACCCTTAAATTATACTAAATACTATTGAGGAGTATCATTGAAAAGTGTTGATGATAAAACGCAAAGAGATACTAATAAACCACAGCAGCAGCAGCAAGTAAACTAATAAATAGCCAGTAAAAATGAAGAAATAACAAAAAAGAAAAAAATTAAATCTTAATGAAAATTAAAAGCAAAAAAAAAAAAAATACAAAAAAAACGACAGTAGATTGTGAAACTAAAACCATTTTATGTAAATTTATATAATCTTAGCACAATGTTTGCATAAGCTGATACTGAGGAAAACTTGAAACTCAACTAACAGGAAGAGCAAATAAAAAACAAACAAACAAATTAACAGCTGCAACATAGCGGCATATTCATAGACGAAATAAAGTCGTTTCTATATTTAGTTGCAGCTTTTGTTTCACAGATATTCCATTGAAAATTATATCAAAAAGTTGCAACAAACTTTAGTGTCGCCTTTATTTTGACTATGAAAACGCCCCGCCCCATACATATTATGTAAAGTATAACATTAAAAAAAAAAGAACAACATTTTAAACTAGCAACCTAGTAATATCAGACAATTATAGCCGCCTTCGATTCGCCAACAGTTAGCGAGCGGCGAAGCGAACCAAATCGATGAGGTACAGCCAAACTCGCCAACGTTCATCGCTACTAGCTAACCTTGTTGTCAAACAGAAGCGAGTAGAGAAGTGGCGAATCGAAGGCGGCTTATATTACATTTGTTAAGCTTACCAATATTTTAATAAGTACAGAAGGAAAGG